TTACGTTTCCGTTAAGTGAACCGCAAGTGCACTGACCTCGTGGAAGAAAAAGTTCGATGGGAACGTTCAATTGGAACGAGGTTCGATTGACCTTTTAAGAAACATCAGTCTGGTGGGGGAGGGTGCAAAGGAATAACACTCACAGGGTACCTGGTACCCTGTGTCTTAGACTTACGGATGACATCCCACTGAAAGAGGTTTAGAATATCTTATCGGTATATAGGGGCTGACTGGTGTCAGACACCAGATAGGAGAGATCTTAGTTGTACTAACTCAGGACGGAAGTGTCTAGATTAAGATTTAGGTTTTCTATAGGGTTAAATGCAAATAAAATTCAGTTCCCCTTTCGATCTTGAAGACACGTGTCTTGCGAGGCGTCTTTGGTCGTTGATCACTGATCACTAAGAGTTAGCAGCACCTCCTTGAGGTAGCTAGTTACTCGTGAGCACTAAGTGCTGTCGATTCACTGAATCGTGTAGTTCCCTGGAACAAGGACCATAAGCTCTACGCTTGTTGACTCATTGAGTCTAGTTCGTCAGAACTAAGTTGCTCGTTGAGCGTTAAGTCTTCCTCTGACTTAAGAAGCTGTGTAGCTCCGCTACAGATTATGTGTTTACACCCGTCAGTTTAAAGGGGGCTCTATGATTATTGACTAATAAGCCTTTGGCATCATAAAACATCGTTTCGGAAGCCCATACAAGTGAAGAGGTTAAAGCAGACAGCGTATCGCCTGATCGGTGCCTGGTGACGTATGGTATGAACCTAAGTCAATACAAGGCAAGGCTTAAAGACCAAGCTCATAGTGTATCGGCTCCACTGACTAGGGCATCCCTGTAGCTCTAGACGAAGGAGAAATGGCCTCTATATAAAACAATGACTTTGTACGCTGGGTGCATAATACACGGCGCTTGAGTAGCATTAATTACTTGGGGTCAAGCTCCGACAAGGATGACGTAAGTCTCACACAAAAACTCCGTTTTGACATAATTAAAATGAAGGCCGAAGGACAGTTCCGACGATGTTTTACACGCGATACGCTGCGGCTGTGCCAATGACTGCAATTTTATTTACAGATTCGGTAGTACAACCGTCTGCTGCTCTCAAAACTGATGAAAAGCATGAGGGGTCGCAAGATGACCCTGGCCTAGGTCAAGGGTTTCCGTGCCACTTCAGCAGATACTGGTGTGGGTCAATGACTTCTTTGCAGTACATTCCTTATATGGAATTGATGATTCCCTTGTGGGTCAAACAACTCCGGCGACTGCCGGTATATCGGCTGCAATCCCATGAGGCTTCGATTTGCAAGGTGATTAGTCTTTGCGAGACGTTAGGTCAGAACCAGCGTACGCTTGACGCGATGCAAGCCCGTCTGTTGACGTTTGAGGTGAGTCAGACACGGATGGATGTGCAAGTTGGTCTTCCGATTGGGGTACAGCAAGAAGGGGCAAGATCAAATTTTGTTTACAAGCGCTTCTCAATCGACCTAGGGTGGGTCCCGATACGGCTTGAGGAGACCGACGTAAAACACGGGGTTTAAACGCAATTCGCGCAGTAACCTTAGTATTTACAAAAGACCCTTATTGACCAAGACCAAAAATGGTCTTAAGAAGCGAGGATGCAACTTAGTCCTAAACACAGCAGACTTTACAGCCGTAGGTAAATTTTAGAGTTAGGTAAGACTTGATCACCGACCTAATAACAATAAATACAGCTTCTGTCCTAACCATTCGCTTGTTTCTCCAATGTGTCTCGATTATCAGTCAATGCGCCACGCAAATGTCTTGAGACATTCAATTGCATCGTTAAGAACGCATTAACATGTTGTTGATCTGTAGCAGGGCTGACATCGGTAAGCCGATTGGCCACCTCTCCCCCATTAATCCCTAAACAACGCAGTGGGGGCGTTAATGAAACGCGAGTGGGGTTGAGGCCGTTCACGTAGATATGAGTGTAGCCAGTAGACGCAGGTAACACAAGCTCTTTAGACGGGTGATTCGTACGTGCGCACATGTAAAGCACGTTAATGGTCAGCCTGAGGTACAATTGGCTGCGCGTCTTTCTAGTTTAATTGTACCCACTAGGTGTTAACTGTACATCAGCACAGATTTTCGTTGGTCTTCATATTTACAGTGACGGCAATACCGGAATTGTGGTCTTTGCTGACAGATTAAGCAAAATGGCTCACTCAAAGGCTCGACCGGACTGCGTCGATGGTGTAGGTACGGCTATGATTTTCACTGACCGTTTTTTTGTCAGCACAGGTTGCCAATAGCAATCAAGTTTGGTCGAGATCACCGCTTCGATGGAAAGTTTCGTACGTCCATTTTCAGGGTGTTTGACACTCATCTAAATATTGCTACCACGACCATCCGCAGACCAATGGTACAACTGTGCACTTTTATCGCGTCTGTCGTCTCAGTTTTTTTGCTAAATCTCCACGGAATAGGATATTGTTGCTTCCTCTCATATTAAAAGTAAATTGAAAAACGCTGTCCATGCCTCTACTATCTTTGCTCCTTTTCATGTGAATAGCCTTGCTACACCCGTGCGTTCCTCTCAAGTTACCACTACATGACTCCGGGCTTGATGGGGATAGTCTGCTGTGAAGATTGTTGATATCTGCTCACCACAATGCAGAAACACGCGAGAGAGTTTCTCGCGACGCACTTTTGTGTCTTTTAACATGTACGTGAATCAGTGACTAATAGCTAAGAATGAAAAAAAGGACTAGCTGATCCTGTAAACCCAGGGTAAACTTTATCTAATGAAGTATTGGCTGCTTTTCAGCACACCCCCTACCTCTAACAGCCGCCAACTCCTGATTGCTTCGTTCTTAGTACGATCTTTACGATAAGGGTATCTGCTTACAACTGAAAAAGCACTTTATTACCACCAGTGTGCTGTAACCTCTCGTAGTGCATCGGCCCCTTTGTTACGAGATGTTAAGCCTCTATTTAATTTGTGCAAGCCCCAATAGTGAAGCTATTAGTGAATGTGCTTAAGGTCGAATGCCGAACTTACAAATTGTATTTAGCTGTGTCTGTTTGTCTTTAAATAACGCAATTAAATGTACCTACCACGTACCAAGTTCGATCTAGCCTGTCCTCTCCTCATGGTTTAATTATATTGAAAGTCATTCTTCTGCTAGGCCACTTTAGTGGTGCACGCTTGGCCCTAAATTGATTAAAAGCGAATGATCACATTAGCAAACACTGGACGCTAATTGGCACTAGCTAATCGCCTTGTCCTAACACACTGTACTAGGTTACTACAGTCATTCCTCGGATAACTTACATTATCATAACTCATAATGTATGTAACTATATAAGTTGTGGTATAACATGCTCGTTCTATGGTCGCTAACTCACAACTCGTAACTTATGACTATCTGATATATATAAGTTTTTCAAAGATAATGTTTATACGATTATACTTCTGAGCTCAGAATTCTTATTCCTACATAATTGCACAATCGAAGAAGACTAAGTGCCTGAGCGTACCAAACGAGTAATGCAGATTGTGGGATATTCTGGGTGGTAGCAGGCATACGGGCGGACATCTTCAGCACTATTCTCGTTATCTGAGAAGGCAACAAAGATCCGTAACTAAATAAAAGGGGAAGTAAAATGTCATTGAACTGAATAATTCCTTTCTAATTTTCAAGAAACTACACTAGATCTGATTTGGAACTTCTTAAAACCCTCAGTCTTAGTATTGTATAACGTCAGGATAAATATTGATCTCTTATTCCTCACACATTCTTTTGCTCATGCTAAAAACTTTGAAGGGCTTACAGTGAGCAATTACAGTGGCAAATTTCGAGCCTGTGTTTGCATTGGTCATTGTGCTTAAGACATACTTTCTTAAAATCAATGGGGAGCCTTTAATTTACTGATTTTTCATTTCTTGAAAAGATTATTGGACATACTGATAATAAATAGCTCAGCTAATTCATAAAATTTGTCGCCACCAAGCCTAAGAGTTTTTCAATGACGAACTGTACTGCAATAAGAACATCGTGTTTATTCTTCAGTGACTGTTGTTTAATGTTGTGCAATTTGCATGAATGGAAGAAGTGAGTACACGGCACGTTATCAAAACGCGAGTTACAAACTTCACCAATATAAATTGTCGGACACGCAACTTGATCGTCACAACGATGTCGTACGCGTTAGTCATCGACGACGTGCTTTACAACCATAAAAGTAAGACTGCAACTTTCAGTAACGGTTTATCTCGAGGATGAAACTATCAGTGACTCTGCGCAAGGTCCGTGAATTTACAGAACGTCATTCAGTTCTATGGACTAAAGTATGTCAAGGGGCGAGCTCCAGAGCTTGCTCCTCTATCTTTCAACACGTAGAATTTCTTCATAAACTAGTCGGTTAACCGACCCGAAATACAATGCACTGCGTTTTATCGTCCTTTTGGTTCTACACGGCAACGAGTGCGTGCCATTGAAGGTAAGAGAATTACTTTACTGCAGACAGGCATGTGTTCCCCGTGTATTCTCTGTGGTGACATGTGTTTGGAGTGTCCAAGCCTACTTATGAAGCGTCGTTTGTTGGAGACTTCGGGAGCTACTCATTTCGTATAGTTTTGCTGGGACAAGGGTTGGTTTTGGACTATGAGGCCAAGTGACCTCCTGATTTGTGCAACAAACCAAGAAGCTGCAACACGCAGCAGAAATAGTAAATAGGAATGGACAAATGCTGTGCAAACAGGCCGACGTCGCTGATTATTTGGTAGTGGAGGGAGAAGTATAATGTCACTACAGACGCAGCAAACCTATCGCCCCATCCATTACGCTGCGTCGGACTGAGAGCAGGAAACAACAGATCTGTGCACAAAGAATCTTATGCTTGCCCGTACCAACTGAGGTGCACCAAACTTCATTAAAACTGTTTGTTAGTCGATCAACGCATAACAACGTGCACTGCAGCCTTCGGCGCCAATTCGCATCATTGCACCTTGCACCTTGCGAGTACAACGAACACAGCTTACAGCCACTTCTGGCGCAGCTTGATCACGAACGGCTCGGCCTGAGGGATCGGCTTGGGCTTATGCTCGGCAATGGCGTCAATCTTCTTGCGAACCTCCGGTGTGATCTTGTCCACAAAATCCATTGCCTTCAGGTTTTCATCCAGCTGCTTGATACTAGTAGCTCCAAGAATTACCGTGGACACGTGTGGGTTGGCCGCTACCCAGGCAATCGACAACTGTGCGACAGAGCAACCCACCTCCTTGGCCACATCAGCGAGCTTGTCGGCTTTAGCAATCTTCTCCTCCAGACCGTTCGACAGCATAGCCTTGTACGACGGCATAGATAAACGTGATCCTTCCGGAATACCCTTGCTGTACTTCCCCGTTAGGATACCGGACGCCAGAGGCGACCACGTCGTGAGACCGTAATTGTACTTCTTGTACAACACGTCAAAGTCATACTCGACACGCGAGCGCTCCAGAATGTGGTACTGCGGCTGGTCAAATATCGGACGAATCAGACCGAGGCGATCGGCAATTTCGCACGCCTCGATGATGTCCTTGGCACACCACTCACTCGTGCCCCAATAGAACGCCCAGCCTTGCTCAATGAGGAAGTTCATGGCCCGCACCGTCTCCTCAATTGGCGTAGCAGGGTCTGGACGGTGGCAAAACACCAGGTCCACGTATTCCAGGTCAAATCGCTTGAGCGACGCCTTCATGCCCTCGACCAGGTGCTTGCGGCTGTTGCCCACGTCGTTCGGGCCCGACTTGGTGCCGAAAAAGAGCTTTGTACTGAGCACCAGGTCCTCGCGTGACCACAGCTTGGAGTCAATGCCGGTCTTGACGATCTTGCCCATGATGATCTCCGATTGGCCGTTCGCGTACATTTCGGCATTGTCAAAAAAGTTGACGCCCTGCTTGTACGCATGCTCCATAATGCTGTATGCCTTGTCAAAGTCCAGCTGCGTGTCGAAAGTCACCCAGCTGCCGAACGACAGACGCGACACGAGGAGACCAGAGTTGCCCAGATAGCGGTACTTCATATTGTGACTGGGGGCAGCGGTGGTCATTTTGCTCGTATGATCAGCTGACGGTTGGCTTGAGTCTTGGGAGGCGAATTCGTTAATGAGCAGAACGTTTGCAGGATCGCATCTGACTTTTGTCCTCTCTCGATAATTGTATGGATTAACGAAAAAGGGTTGAGTCGACACGTCTGCCTCCATCTCTCATCTTTGTGCCATGAAGACAGCCAATAAGAGACGACGAGGAATGTTCTGCGGTTACGCAGCCACTTATCAGGTGCGTGACGCACCTGACAAGTAGCCGCATCATCAGAGCTGGATCCCATTATTTCTGATCCGTCGACTACGAATCTTGGGGAGCCATTAGCTACGCAATCAACTGATTTGTTTACAAAGAATGTAATTTATGCTCATTTAATTTCGAAACTCAAAACTGAGGGCGGACGTTAAGGTGGCACATTGCATCATTACCTTAATTATGTGGACGCGGGACCTATTCTCGGACTCTTCTAGACTTATCGTTTAGAAACAAAAATGTAGTAATTTGAAAGTAGATCGGTGTCGGATCCAGGAGCTTGCTGAGGACCGAAACGTGGACCAGAATTTCTGGATCTCTGCCGTCATGTTTTTGATGCAAATCGGTCGGTCGGGAAAAGGAGAGGCAAAATGATACAACGAATTCCTCTTCTTCCCACATCTTTTCCGGTTAACGACGCGTCCGCTCTCTAGCTTTATGCGCGCCGGAGTTCCCCAGCTCAGCAGTCGACTCTTCGCTGCTGGTTGTACTAGTACTTGCGTACTGTGATGATAGTTGTGAACTGACAAATATATTGACGTGTTAACCACTACCACTGACAAACATTGTTTCCTCTCATAATCCTGCGTCTTCCTATGGACCTGGTATCATCATCGGCTACTACAGCAATATATGTGGTTAACATTTACCTGGCGTGATCAGTATCACGATAAGTCTTGGCGACAGCAACGGTCAACCTGCAACACCACATGCTAGTCGCTTCATCAAGAAACGCCACATAGTGTGTCGCTACCCACTCAGCCTATTCATTTTGCTGGTAGATGTCGGGGCTAAACATTTCCCTAGCACCCGCTCCATCATTATATGAGGGGTACTGCGTCGACGGGGTACCAATTGTTGCAGGACCGCAGCGGATGACGCCTGTTCTGCAGTATCCATATTCAACCGTCGAAAAGCCCATACACGACAGGCTTACACGTGCTTTCCTGGTCGTTCGGGTGATCCAAAGCATGGCTTACTTGGTCCACTGTGTTTTGATCTCTACCGGTACATCAGCGAATCCGGGTCCATTCGCCTGTCATAGCGTTACCAACAGCCCCGGGTTGACCTTGTTGAGCCTGTTGTTTGTGGAATTCGCGTGTGCCCATAATGTAACGGGGTATCCTTTTACATGAAATTGACACCAAACGGTGTCAATTGGAATATTGTCTAGCAGGACAATATTCTACCAATATTATCCGAGATAGATAATATACATTCACTGCTCTAAGATTGGTTGATAAAGACATATCAACCATAGATTGCCACCAATCGCTGCTAGACGCGCGCAATGAGTGGTGAGCAAGTTGTCGTCATACGACGGCGTAGTTGAATATAGTCAGATAAAGATTAAAGTTGTATTGATAGCTTAGCTATACTAAATACAGTTCTCTTTTTACCTGTACTGAAACTAGCTGTTTGAGTAGATTAGCTTCCTCTGCACGAACTAGTGTACGTGGAGTTTCGTGGCACCCCAAACAAGGGGTGCCCCGTTACACCTAATAGCACTTCGTAGTCCGTCCAACGACTACTTAGTGCTCGTCCAACATGAACATGTTGGATGTAGAAGACGACAGCTTTCACGTCACAAGTGAAGGTTATTCCAATCTGAGTGACTCAGAATGGGAGGTAGTCGGCCGCATGAGTGTGCTCATGGGCGAACCCGCCATCAGTGGCATGTTGACGTCTCTAAGCAGAGACCAGCAACGTGCTGCTATCAACAAATTCCTACAAGGAGAACTTGCCGTCGAAAGACAGAAGTTGGCTTGCTACAGCAGCAAGGCTCTCATCAGTCAATGGGTGGGCCGACGCACACGCGTCGACCCAAAGCCTTGAAAATAGACATTTCTAGGTACAAGTAAACCGATGAAGATTCCCTTTTGAGATGGTTCGTCGAGTTAGACAACGCCATCAAGGCCCGTCACATCGAGGGTGACGAGATGCAAGTCACTTTCGCCCTGTCAAATTTGACAGGACGAGCAAAGACTTGGGACTTAGGGCTCAAGCTTCACGACCCAAACGTGTCTAAGTCGTTGGAGATCTTGATGTCTCGGCTCAAAGAGACGTTTGAGCCGCCGAGAGCCGAGTTCAGAGCACGCTCTGCACTCTTGAGGCTCAAGCAAGGTAAGCGTGACGTGCACGCTTACGCACAGCACCTGCGCTACCTTACGAGCAGCGTCACGTAAAACCCTGTTGATGAGCACACGCTCATCAACGTGTTTATCTACGGCCTTGTGGATGGGCCGGTAAAGACCTACATGATCCGAGAGGACTTCCATACGCTGGAAAGGGCGATAGCGTGTGCGGAACAAGAAGACTTCAGCCTGAGACAGTCTCAGGCTAACTCTTCAAACTATCTTCCGACGAGACGACAGGAAACAGGAGGTCCCGAACCAACCGACCTCTGTTACATAGAGATCGAGAACATTCGCCCTCAGAGTCACAAGCGAACGGCAAGGTGCCATCGCTGTCAGAAGATTGGACACTACGCTCATGAGTGCATTTTCCCGAGCACCGCATCATGTCCAAAGACAGGACGTAATGACCGCCGTGTTGGCCGAGAAAATCTCCAAGGCGTGGGTCCGACCATGTCGCTAAGCCGCGACAGCAAGTCGGATTGCCAAAAAACGGACAGGTTCAGTAGGGGTGAGCACCCTGCTGATCCAGAAACGTCAAGAGAATTTGCGCGACTCTTGACAAAGATTGCTACCAACAAACAGTCGCTGTGTGTTACTGCCCCTAGTGATGAGGTGTCCCTCATCACGTTGAAGATCGAAGTGACAAGTAGAATGTCACTTCGCTCCCTAGTTGACTGTGGGGCGTCGAACAGTTTCATTCGACGCCAGTCGCTAGGGAATAGTAGACTAAAACTATGTTGAGCGAGAGTTCCCTCCATCGAGATTGACGGTGTGCCTTGCTACAGGCGCACCCGTAACAGTGAGCAAACGTTTAGTGGGTTCTACTAAACGCTAGAAGGAAAGACGTACGATGATGACTTTATCGTACTGGATTTGGATGACAAGTTTGATGTCATCCTCGGTATGTCATGGCTTAGAAAGTACCAGCCACGAATCAGTTGGTAGCATCATATCCGTGAAGATGCCTGCCGTTTGTTCATCAGATGGACATCTGATGAACTTCTTGGAGCACCCACAAGCGTGTGGATGTACTACGAATGGGTGCGATGGCCCCACTTTTGGTACGGTCGTTAGTACGACTGCCCAAAATCACAGTGTAGAAGGCCACTACACTGTGGAACCAGCTCCCGGCACCTGTGTATAGACACAGGCTGCGCCGAAGGCTCACCACCGGAAGAGATCGATTGGACTGGAACACGGATGCACAATAAGAAGGGTGCATCCGAGAAGAGAGATTATTGTTTTTAAAATGAACAACTCGTTACAGCGAGATCAACTAAGAGAGAGTCGATCGTAGAGCAATCCCGATCGACTGAAAGAGAGTCGATCTAAGAGGACGTGACCGTGATAGTTAACGTTATGGAAGAGAGTTCCAGCGTTCCTGAGAGCGACAACTCCCAAGAGAGTTATGTTAAGTGTGTGGATCCCCAACCACCTGCGGGTGTGATTTTCAAGAAGTCTTCGAGTCAGTGAGTGTCTTAATGAATGTCGAATCAAGTGTAGGCGCTTACACACTTGATCTGGTTACACCTCCGAAGTCAGCTGCGGAGGTAATCAAGTTGCCAACGCTAGAATCAAATAGATTCTTGCGAGATCTGCGTAGTGACAACATTAAAATAATTTTTGAAAAAAAAGGTATTCTTTTAGCAGATCTGAGTACTCGTCACAGAGGACGAATAAGTCGCCGATATTTGGTCGGCACAAGTGTTTGCTGAGAACGAACGCGTTCTCAGTAGTTTATCTTTGGACGAGAGTTTCCTCGATGAGAAGATCCAAATTGAGCGATACACGTCTTAATCTTGGGATTCTTTGAGGACAAATCCTTTGTATATTGATTTGGTTGAATTAAGGGATGTTTTACCAGAATCCGAGCCGTGCGAACTGCCCAAGTATAGAGGCACTCGGCATGAGATCGATCTGGAACCTGGTTCGAAATACTGTGTCATGAAGCAGTGGCCACTGCCTCGGGAACAGGTCACAGCGATTGACAATTCTTTGCCGATCACTTAGCGGCTGGTCATATGAGGGAATTAACATCCCCACACAGCTCTCCGACCTTCTGTGTGCGAAAACGCAACAGGAGTGTGGCGGATAGTGCACGCGTTCAACAAATTGAATGCTGCAACGGTACCAGCTCAAACGCCGATCCCAAGAAAGGATGTCAATATAGATGGTATGACAAAAAGTACCATCTTTTTGTCCATGGATTTGATGGATGGATTCTATCAGATCCTCATGCGTGAACGGGATATCCCTTACACAGCAGTGAGAACCCCCAGTGGTATGCTCTGGAAGTGGCTAGTGATGCCACAGGGGCTCACTAACGCCCCTGCAACGTTCAACAGATGTGTTACGAATCTGTTGCGATCGGTGCGCGACTTCGCACCGAGTTACTTCAAAGATGTCTTCGTCCATAGCCGGGCTATGGATGGAAAGACGGACATGGAGATTTATAAAGTCCACATCCGTAAGGCCCTCACACTTACGCTAGAGCATAAGTTGTTCGCGTACCTCAAGAAGTGTATATTTGCAGCGAACGAAATACCACTTCTTGGCTGCATAGTGGGTAAAAACGGTATACGCCCTGATCCGGAAAAGATCAAGGCGGTTAGCGACTGGCCTTTTCCAGTCAACCTCATGGGACTTCGAAAGTTCCTTGACTTGGCGGCGTACTTGCACAAATACTCGCGCAACTATGCCGAGATGACCATACATCTCTCTCGTCTACTAAAGAAAAACGAGAGATGGTCATGGAGTGCTGAGTGTCAGCACTCTTATGAAGGCATCAAGGAAAGCTTGGTGCATTTGTCTGTGTTGGAAGTTGCAGATCAGGATAGGCCATTTCATGTGGTCTGTAACGCCAGCGATTTTGCAATTGGCTGCGCGTTAATGCAGTACGACTCAGACGGCGTTGAGCGCGTCGTCTGTTATCAATCGCGTCAGCTACAAGCAGATGAGCGTAATTGCCCATTTCATATCAATGAACTACTTGCCATGAAATATGCAATGGCCAAGTTTCGGGTGTATCTCTTATGAGATAGGCCCTTCATCGATTATACCGACCATGCTTCGTTACGCGCGGCCGTAACAGCCCACACCTCTCGCAACGAATGGCGAGGTGGCTGTCTTTCTTCGCGGAGTACAACTTCTCTGTCGAGTATAAACCAGGACGACTTAATGTCGTCGCTGATTCTCTTTCTCGTCAGCCCGATTTCGAGCCGAATGCTCAAACCAATCGTAGGGGTGATCCCACTGTCGCGACACTATCACTGAGTGTTCCGTCGTCGAATCTGCTTGACGATGTGCGGAAAGCATATGCAGAAGATGATTCTCTTCTGCGATCGATGAAATACGTATCCAATCCGTGCAGTCAAGCTTTGAAAAGCTTGTCGTCTCAATACCGCCCTTCAACGGAACGGTATTCTGTCCGTGATGGACTGCTGTACTATACAGCAGTCAACGGCGACACACCTCGTGTCGTCTTTCCGGCTCATGATGATGGAATGGGATCGCGCATCATGGATGAGTGTCACGATTCCCCAACTAGTGGGCATCGCGGTAGAGAAAATGCTTACCTCACGGTAAGTCGTTACTTCTACTGACCCCGCTAGTGTGAGTTTGTGCGTAAATACATCCGCGCTTGCAAAGTTTACCAACGATGGAAGCCTAGTTCTTCATCCCGTGCACCCTTGCAGCCTCTATCAATTCCGGCAGAGTGCTGGTAGTTCGTATCGATGGATTTCATCTTTAGGTTTCCTAAAGATGTTCACAAGAATACTAGCGTTCTAGTGTTTGTCGATCGGTTCAGCAAGATGGTATTTCTTGTTGCTGTACCGGAGTCAATCACAGCCGAGGGTTGTGCTCGTGTCTTCATCGATACTATCTTCCGGCTTCACGGGTTATCCAGTGAACTTTTATCTGACAGGGACCCCGCTTCACAGCGGAGTTCTGGCAATCCGTGTTTCGTTCACTTGGAACACGTTTGACGATGTCGACTTCTGACCATCCAGAAACAGATGGTCAGACGGAAAGCGTCAACCGCGTCCTCGAAGAGATACTTCGAGGGTATGTCCACTCGTTTACGAGTTGGAGTGAGTTCTTGCCGTTGGCGGAATTTGCCATCAACAACTCGGTGCACGCGTCGACGACGCATACACCGTTCTTCGTGATTGGCCTACGCCATCCACGTTTACCCGCCTTCTTAGAGTGTGACTCTAGTTTAAGGGGGGTGGACCCGCTCGAACAAAAACCGATCTGTTCTTGCTCATCACCCGTCGACAATGGTGTCGACGTGATGGATGCCGATGTCGATGCGATCGATATCGATGATGATGATGATGATGATGACGATGTTGGCATATTCAGCATCGCCAATGACCGCTAAAGTGAGGACGATGATACCCTCACTGGTGAAGACAACGTTTTTCAGCAGTGCACACGAAGCGTACTGCTGTTGACAAGGATGAATCAACAGAGGAATTTCTGCTGACTCGCGAAGCAGTTGTCCGCTTCGTTCAAGACTCTATTGCAGATGCATTATACAGACAGAAGAGAAACGCAGACAAACATGGAAGAGCAAATGTTCTTTCATTTGATCGAGGAGATTTAGTTTTACTGTCTACAGTAAACTTACCGAAGCACGCAGTGACAAACGCGGGCAGCAGTAAATTGCTGCCCAAGTACATCGGTCATTTTCGTGGGTTTGCGCCTAATGGGCAACGCACACACGATTGAACTGCCCTGTAAGATGCGTATGCATCCTACGTTTAACGTTGGACATCTCCGCCCGTACTATCAGTACGAGCCCGTTTCGAGATGCGAAGAGCACCGCCGCGGTCAAGGGCCAAGACCACCTTCGAGTGGTCCCATTTCAACGAGCCAGTCTGACTGACTAGAGAAGAGACCTGATCACGCAGTGGAGCGATGTCTCTACGAGATGCAGCCAGCTCTTCATGAAGAGAACGAGTCGAACGTTCGTTCTCAACTTGTGCGAACGCAAACGCAGCATGATAGTCCAAACGATCGTGCGCTAACATACTGTAATTATCCCTTACGAGATCATGAGCGCATAGCGCCGAGACCGTTCATGATCCAGATCATCGTATAACTGATTAATTGCACGGTTCAGCTCTTGAACATCAAGATGATCCGGCCCTCGAGCCGGATCAGGTGTTCCCACCGCCACCACATCCTTTGGTGGCCTCAAGCGGTGGTCAACGCTTTCTAGTGAAGCGTATTTTGAACCATCGCGATGTGAATGGCGTCCAGACGAGTTACCTCGTCCACTGGCGTGGCTATCCACCGACGTGGGACAGCTGGTAGCCTCGTGCCCAGCTGATTGTTGATGTCTTTGGTCTCTTCGAGCAGTACGACGAGACCCACCCGCTGCGTTCGAAGAAGGGCCGTTGGAAAACGACCTCCCCGGACGCGAGTACAGGGATTTCAAGGTGTCAATCCCTTCGGCCATCTCGGACGGGATGCGCGCCCTCCAGTAGGGATCATTAGTGAGGAAAGCCTCCCTAGGGGCACTATTTGAGCTGTCCAGGCAACCTGGACACGAATCATTCCACGAAAGACAGGGTAATCCTGCCTCTCTTGAAAGCCGGTGCAACTTGTATCGCGCCCCGACTGGGTTGCGTTTCTCAAACCTGATGCGAACTGCAGCAAGTTTATCGAGCTAGGCATCAGTGCCAATGCACTCGATGTTGTGGACGAGGGCATTCCATCCCTGCACCAAGGCTTTGCCGTCTCGGAAACGGATGCCATTGTACCACCGATGGTTGAAGAACGCATCGGTGACGAATTCTTCCTCAGCACGAAGAGATTCCGTGGTGGAATCAGGTGGGCAAATCTTCCTGCAATCGTGTAACGGGATTTGATCCCGTTCGGTAGTCTTGCCGGCCAAACGGTCCAACTCTCTGGATGGCGGCATCCACGGAGGATACACTTGAGGAGCGTGGAGCAGGACATTTCAGTCCATGGCCTCTTGATTGGTGCCAGCATGAGCACTGGCACCAATGTTACCCCTATACCTTGACTAACTTCGCTCGTGGTGATGTATAGGAGCATCACCACCATCTCCACGCGTCCTATCGTTGGATGGACTTGCGTGAGGCGGAGACTCATCGGAATAATCACTCGATCCGAAGATCTCGGTCACAATACTGCCGCGCCAACCAGAGCCAGTCAGCCTGGCTTTTGCAGCGTCCGCCCCGGGTGATCCCGAGGCGTGAGGAGTCGCCTTCGAGTCGGATGTATCATCCGACTCGCCGGAATAGATGAGCTCTATCTCAGATTCGTCTGGATTACGATTCGTGATACCCGCTGCAGACGCAACGGATGTACCTGTCGCACGTGGTGAATCACCACGTGACGATTCACAACAACAGGCGACGAATCACCTTCTGCTGAGGTGTGAAAGGAACTTTCGCGGCCGCACGCATGCGTGCAGCCACCCTTCTTGCTGCTTCAGTAGCAGCTCGCGTGGTTTTTAAAACCATGCGTTGGATTGGCAAATGAATGGAATTTGACCAACAAGTGCTCCCTTTCCCAGAATGATCCAACGGTGGTCACCCTGTTCCAATCAATTTAATTCAATCAACGGGTGATTGATGGTAAAGGGGGGGGGTGATGTAACGGGGTATCCCGTTACATGATATTTACACCAAACGGTGTTAATAGAGATATTCTCTAGCATGACGATATCCTACCGATATTATCCGAGATGGATAATATCGGTAGGATATGCGCTGCTCCAAGATTGGTTGATTTAAGACATGTCGACCATAGATTGCCACCAGTCGCTGCTAGATGCGCTCAATGAGTGGTGAGCAGGTTGTCGTCATACGACGGCGAAGATTAATATAGTCAGATAAAGATTAAAGTTGTATTGATAGCTTAACTATATTAAGTACAGTTCTCTTTTTACCCTTCACTCAGCTTAGTCGATAAGTAGACAAGCTTCCTCTGCACGTACTATAGTGTACGTGAACTTTCGTGGCACCCAGACAAAGGGTGCCCCGTTACACCCCTGAACTATACGGGATCATCCTACTAGGACTGCCATCTCATGGTCGCAGAGTAGGGTGCAGGAGGCTTAGCCTGGCGCGACGCTTCGAATCGCAGAGTGGGAGCAGGTTTTTACCTTCGTAGGCTTGAGCTTGCAAGCTGACCCAAACATCCAAGCTGTCGAGTAATGGTGCAAAAGTAATGGGACCCTCCGCCCGTAGATTGTGATCCAGCAATTAACCACGCTTTCGTTGGCTGGTCTGTCAACGGATCACGGTGGCACCGCAACGACTCTTCGATGCACGCCCGTCGGCTATCAGCCATTTACATCTCAACGACCGAGTCGTCTAGAATCTGCAGCTACTCCCCTGGTAATATGAAACGCTTGACGAATCAGAGCAAAAGGTCAGGAGCGATCCGGGCCATGTGTTGCCTCCGTCGTGGAGCTGTCAGCGGTGGGAAAAGGGACATGTCAGGGATTTGGCCATTCCAAGCCAGCTTCTCCCACGTCGAAGCCCATTCCTCCCGATCGATAAGTTTGTAGTGACCTTCATTGGTACCGGAGTGCGAAATAGTGCCGATTCGACTCGGCCTTTTTCTTAAGCGTAGTATGCGCTCATAGGTCATCATCGTCCCTAGCGAACGGTCTTTTTCGGGCAAGGAGATGAGGCCGCGTTTGCGACCTGGAGGTGGATCCTGACTCGGCTTGAGTGATCGGTCTTTGCTTACAAGCGAGCATTTACTTTTGTGATCATGTACACCTTGGTCGATTTGAAGTCAATCACAAGCGTACATTACAATAGTGACCTAGCCAAGAGTGACTTCGGAAATGCCTATAACCTATGAAGGGGGACAGGCTAATCGCACTTAGTACGTGTAAGGTGCACCGGGCCGCGTTTTTTACAGACAGACGGACACAGATAAGTACGATTTGGAAAGTTCGGCATTCGACCTCGCACAGTCAATAATAGCTTTACCCTTTGGGCTCGCAACAATGTCGGGACAGCTTATGATGGTTACCTATAACTGCAACTTGGTTCATTGTTTTCACATCATTACTTTTCTCGCAGGCACCATCGCCATTGCGCATAAATTACTAGTACCATCCTTCCACGGTCGTTCCAGCAACACATGTAGGTCATTCGTTAAGATTCCATTCGTCCAAAGTGGCAAGTCGAAGTCCCAGTTGCTTGATTTGTTTCAGACGCTCTTCACAGTTCAAAGCAAAGCCAATGAGGTCTTGGTGGAACACCTGGCATGCCAGATTGGCGTTCATACATGTGAGTCGCACGCACTCCGAGATGATTGCACTGGACACGACTTGTCTGCCGTAAAGCGGTCCGAACGGTGAAATCCCTTGCTTGACATGTACCTGTGTGCGATACTCGTGGTCATTGAGTGGCTGGATAACAATATGCACATCGTTAAACTGCCCAGATATTGTCCGTAAGTCGTAGTCCTCATCACATTCCTGGTCAGAACAAATCCAGTTATAAATGCTAAGCTGGTCAGAATCTACTCGTTGATGAGAAAGATCGACGACTCGTACCTTGAACACCACATGCACAAAATCATTACCAATATGACGTTTCTTTTTCATCGAGGCGAAGTTTTCTGCAGCTGGGTTGCTAGCCGAACGAAAACTCTGGGGAACCATCATTGTGGCCACGTGAAACATTATCTGCAGTAACAAACCGCAAAACACATCAGATATCGAACGCATGTGTTCATGATGAATCGTGCGTACCTGCGCACATGAGTCCTTATAGATGAGACCAAATTTGCCATCACTGTTGTTCACGGTGTCAAGCCCTCCCGTATAACCAGGAAGACCTTCCAGTTTAGTGAACGTCCCGAGGCGGCGTAAAAATCGCAAGTAACGCAACGATCCACCGGTATTCCCTAGAACGGTTGACTCGGACGATTGTTTACCGTCTCTCACATAAAGTAGACCGATTTTGTGCGTCTCATATTCTGGCGTGCGGTCCAGCACGCTGAGCGCCAGCTTCAGTGCTGACCCATCTCTGAGTAACTGTGGACGGTTTTCGACGCTAACATCAAAAAGTTGCATCATCAAACACATTGGATCGTACTGGTCTTCATTGAAGAGTCCACATGCGCTTCCGACGGTAGAGGGACTACCTTCACCTGATTGCCAAATTCTCGGCGTTACTGCTGGTGGACCCGATACATCACTGCAATTGATGTCGGGCAAAAACGTATCCTTCTTATTTTTCCAGTGTCGACTCTCCACACATTCTTGTCGGCTCTCAAAGTCGGCATTTTCTCCAGCTTCTTCCTGTATCGTGCGAGTGACGAAATTGCACGACAGACCTTCTTGCCCATCGTCTCCTTCCGCTTGCCTGTATTGCTTGCTCTTGGTTCTACATTCCGGAAAGTCGCTCTTTTGCTGCGAATGACGCCGAGCTACACATGAAGCCGACAGCAGTTTCAGTAGACACGGAAAGTCAGTCCAGTTACCACGCACACAACGGATAAGTTACCAAATCCCTACCTTGTCCGCTTTCACAACAGTGCGACGGTGACTCGACAATGTCATCGTATGCTGGTAGCGCTGGCAATGCGATTGCTGCAGCCGACTGATGAGATAGTGCATCTTGCAGAGAGGATCTTTTTGGCAAATCGCAAGTTTTATTGCTACCCACCGCTGTTCCATAGTTTTTTTCCACTCGGTCATTGCTGGACCTGCGCACTGCTCCATCGTGTAAGCATGCAAACTTTCGAGCATCGCTTTCGAGGTATGAACGTGATTGACGCCGATAAGACAATCCATGGTCAAAAAGATCTAGTGGCCGCGGGGGGAAAACCGTACTTCTGTCCATGTTTCTACCCATCGGTTGCTTTCCATCTCCACCAGAGATGGAGTGACTACATTTGCTTTGATCGTGCACATCATACAGAGGACATAAGGAAGCCAATGCGGCATGGCCAACACCAAGCTCCCACTTGCTCGTGCAATTAGCCCTGCGAATAACCAATGACGCATCCCCGTGTGAATTCGTTGTAATTGTCAGCAGTGACCTTCTGTAAACCCAGGATCTCGACCTGGTACGACGAGAACCAGCATACATCCCTGTCGTTCCACTATCATCGCTTTGAGATTGCTGCCGAGAACAGAGTGCCGACGAGGCCAATATTGACTGGGAGTACGCATGGCACATCAAGAAATCGACAGCCGCTTCTGCCAAAAGGCTGTTCGCGCGATGCGTACACTGCTCTAAGGTCGGTATTGCCAGAGCTGCAAGACGTGATCGCTCCTTAAAGTTTGTTTGATAAATCAGTTGGCACAAAAGTCGGAAGGCAAGGTAAACGATCTGCTTCGACTTCGCGTACTCAAAGCCTAGTAGTATCGCCTTGAGAATCGCTTCGCGAGCAGAACGGGCCGTGTCTTCTTGTCCTGTATGAAGCATGGGCGTGATAGTTCCCAGCAATTCCAGCATCGCTACAAAAGCGTCGGAACGAAAGTCGCCGTGCACCGTCGTGATCAGGCAGCGCACATTTTGTAGCATTTTATCGATTTGGCGAAGCACTGATGCTGGAGCAAGAATTGCTAATAGGCTCAACACCGTCGTCGTTGTGTGCATCAATTTAAACTCCGAGTCAAAAAGTTGATGCAAGAGACCCTGTAGTCGTGCTTGATTGGTGCGACTTGGGTGGGGGCGTGGGGCATTTGGCTTTTCAGACTCTGATGCTGATTTGTGCGCCAACGCTGGTTTACCCGTAGACCCCGAAAACGCATGGAAAAGGCTACCGTGAGAAGCGGAAGTCTGGAAGCGCGATAATACACGGGAAGTGAATCCGAGAGGTGTGTCAGACGCGAAAGTGTCAGTGATATGAAGCTCAGGCTCTGCCCCATCATGGCGGTACAGCATATCTGGAGCTGACACTGACGCTGACAACGATACGGCCGAGCCGTGTGCAGTCGTATGGCCCATAAGAAGGTCTTTCTCAGCAACTGCCAGCCGTAATTCCATCGCACCTACTAGGCATCGCGTGAGCTCTCGTAGCGTGTGATCGTGCAGCTCCGACTCGTAGCTCACGAGAAGCTGCAGCAATTCGATTCCCATGCCAAGATATCGTGTTTTAGCGAGTAACACCATTGCAGCCTGCACACTTATGCCAAGCGTCGTCTCACTCTTGTTATTGTTATCATGCCTTCTTTTTGCGTAAATCAAGTGCACGAGCTCCACGTTTGTTTGCAAGATCAAACGACCAACGGCATCATGTTCCTCCCGATTCTTTTGATCTCGACAGACCGACAAATGGACATTGGCTGGCATTTGCTGACAGCGAGGGTCGCCGAACATTCGGCCAACCTCGTCAGCAATAGCGGCTCTCCCAAAAGCCCCATAATCGATGCTTGCCACGATCTTTGCCGACACTTCGCTCACATCCACATCTTCCAAGATTGTACGATTTTCGAGCATGGTTTTGATGCCTTTTACTGCCATACGGAAAAGCTCAGCATCAGGCTCCGCAGACACTAGCGTGAGAAGAGCGCGGAACGCATGCGCCACTGGCACATGTGCTGCCGTTACCTGGATACTACTTGAGTTGATGTGTGCAGCACGTCGAGATGTAAACAAGAAGCGTGACTTACGAATTCGTTGCTCCTCTTTCCACTGAAGTCTACCATCAATTGCACACGCTTCACATAAACACAGTAAACATGATAGCGCAATGTGCCGAACAGCACGACTTCCGTGAGCTTCTACTGTCGTAACAAGAAGATCGTACATACGAACAACGCGCGCCGGTGGCAAATGGTCGAATGCTGACGAAAAGAGCGAAACGACACCTGAAGCTGCCAAAAGCTGAGCATCGTTGTTGCCTGGAAGTGCCATCGCGCTGGCAAGAATGCCTAGCAAAGAGTCAAACTTTGCACTTTCCAATTGACGCGCCACCTCGATGATGAATCCGAGGGCACGACGTCGCACTTCCGCATCGGGATCGTTATATACTTGACCAAGCGTTGGAATCACCACTTCCTCGATTACACGATCCTCGCACACATAGCGACTTGTCCATAGATTGACGCGCAAAATTTCGAGTGCCTCCAGGCGCACTACTTTGGGTATCACTAGAGCATCACCGTCAGAACCAACACCTGAAAAAAATGTGCGCATCACACTAGACAAAGTTGTAAGCCAAGTCAAGTGGTATCCTGGATGAGTTGCGTCAGCACGTTGCCGCAGCAGAAACAGCATTGAGTCCTCAGAAAGACATGGCAAATACTGCTCGAGAATATTGAGAAACTCGTTTACATCGCCTGCAAAGCGACGGCGTTCGACGAGGTCTTCGACGGCTTGCAGAGTGTCAAGAAGCTCGCGAGGCACTCTTGTCTGTTGGATAGACACCAACAGTTGTGGATGCGGTTGATTGGACAGGTCGTTCGCTAAGCAAATAGCTGCAGGATAGTTTGCATCTCCACCTGTTCGTCGATTATTAGGCTGTGAAGATCTCTCAGAAATTCCGGCTGTTTCGCTGTCGTCCGTCATGGACGCCCACGGCCTTAGAGTATGGAGCATGCGCAAAATTATATCCCACTCCACGATCAAACAACGTTTGCTTCTATTAGCACCTGAGCTTGGTGTGCCGAGCCCCGAGCTAACCTTACTCTCCTCCTCTCTGCTCTCTCCTGAATGCAGAGACACCTCGGTCGAAAGGTTCATTGCTACTGCAGCACTTTGCCCGCTACTTCCGGCTGGTAGATGGGCGGCACCAAATTTCTTAATCAGGCGCTGTAAAGACAAAATTATCTCAAACACGACCACTCTCCGACAACATTGCAAAGCTCGTTCAAGAGCAAGCAATATGGGGCCCCATGCAGTGTCGTCAAACTTGGCTAAGCGCTGAGAGCCCCAGCACGACATGCCCACAAAAAATACAGCGCCTCGGAGTACCCACGGCGAATTGACCCCCATCGGGTGCTCTAGCATTTGCACCAATCCTCGCAGTACAACGAAACCAGAACTTCCAGTAAGTAGCAGTTTCATGACTGACCACGTTCCATGACCGTCTGCATTGACCAGGCAACATAGTGAACGCAGGCACGCTGGCGCGCTTGCCGCATATGCCAAATCATGCGTTGCTAAAACATGAAAAAAGGTAATAAACTTGTGACACGCGTCCAAATCACTGCGACTCCACGCGACATCGCATCGTCCGCCGATGACCGACACGATTGCAATCACCTTGTCACGATCTAGAGCTCGAGGACTACGACGCAAAATAAGTTGAATGAGCCCAAGCAAGTCTCTTTGCGCATCTGACTGTTCCAAGAGACGCAGCAAGAACCAGCCCAGCTCGACGTGAAACGGTTCCACATGTCGTCCATCTTGAGTGAGGGTACGAAGCACTTTCTGCCGCAGCAAAAAGTCCCTTGGCGGGTGTGATTCCAACCGCAAGTAGACTTTTCTCCTTAGCGCTGGTGTCAACCGTTCCCCGAAGCGCAGCACACAGAGTTGTACCACTTCAAAAGCTAATGCCCGCACGTCGGGGTTCCGATGCTCGAACAAGTCGACAATGCAATCCAACAAAGCATCAATTTCCGACAGTGTGAGCGTCACGCGCGACGCGGGGCGTCGTTCATTGAATCCCCTGGTGCTTCCAGATCTGTACATAGAGTCGTCACTCGTGAAAGGGCCCTGTCCATCCCCGATAGGAACTGCAGCATCTGCTTTAGATTCCTGTACACTGCTCAGCATGTCGAGCGACATACCAGGACCAGGAAACGTCGCCGACGTCACTTGTGCGTGTCGAGAAGTCCGTACTGGAGCCCTTAGTAGCGCCAGCACACGCTCTACATCTCGGACGAATGCGCGCTCTTCTGCACGTTGTCTCTGGCGTCTACACAGCCGCTGGAGCTGCAGCACAAGCTCAGTAGACGTATCATCATTGTCCTTCTCGTCGTCCTCGTCGCCACTTTGACGTCGACGGCTTCTACAGCTCCTGCCTGATCCCCCAGCGTTTGTTGAAAAGACCGCATTATTAAGTGACGATGATCGGCGCAGCTGCACGGCGCTTGTGGCCTCGATAGAGTCGCTGGACAGAGACGGCGAGGAATCAGATCTCGTGGTCTCGGATGCGTCGTCATGTGGCTGCTGCTGTGGAGAATGGCAAGAAGAGGTTAGCACCGTGTGTGGCACGTTAGGTGGCGGACTTTTCTGTGGACTGTCGCTGTTCGTGCTGGTGGCCCCAGGCGCGTGGACAGCGTCCGAAGCGATGTCGGTAGCTGGCGCATGGACCGCGCGGTCCATCGATTGCTGTTGAATCAGATTGATTGGATTTCGGTCAGGATCAGATCGACTATTTTAGGGATAGGAAAAGGTAAATGCTGGACGGCTGGACTCATTTTTATCAGAAGTAGCTCAGAAACATGCCCAATTTCGTCAGGGGTAAATCCCAAATACGTAATTACAGTTTTCTCACTTGCCCGTGCAAAAGTAGCACGAGGCGCACGCATTGATGCAGCGCCGAAGTCTGGCTTATCCCCACACCGTTCACATCGACCACATTGTGTCAAGCAATAAGGATGCAACCAGGGGTTGATTGCCGCTTTCCGCAGTACCAAAATTGTTCGTCTTCACCTCTTAAATCCGTAATCGTCTACAGCGCCGTCACTCGCATGCAGACGGTACGTCAAGTAATCGTCCTCCGAATTTTGCGAGTTTGTAAATAGCCTAGTCTTCAACGCCAATTGTTCACCCAGCAAATGTTGTCTCTTATCGCTTAGTAGATTAATACTCCTTCGGATCCAACTACTTTTCAGGTCCGCGCACAGTAATACGAATTCTCCAATATAATCGGAGGCGGACACGCGTATCAGTCCATGGTGTATGCACAGATATCACAGTAAGTACTCCAGCACTTGGACCATTCGGTTCTCCTGACGTCATAAGCGCCATAGCAGCTACATCGTGAAAATAGCCGCGTATCTGACTATAATATGAGATTAACTGTGCGCACGCACCGGCTTGACCCAGTACTCCATCTCTTTGGCTGTACTTGCTTATCAAAACATCGTCGGTGCAGGCGTCACGACCTCATTGGCCTTGATGTTAAATTAGCTCTTCCAGAGGATGTAATCCGGCGAACGATCAAGCTCGCCTTCCATGGCCGCCATGTTATTTTCCTCGTAATTGAGAAATCACCACCTTGCTTGTAATTGGACCAATGACACCTTCTGCCAGTACGAATCAGCGCTTCTTCCGATTGGCAACGCGGGCAGATTGGGCACTGTCTAATTCACAAAGGACCCCTTCATACTCGAGACGAAGGCGTGCGGGGCATCGTCATTCAGACACGACGAGGAGGATGTGACACGTTTAAGTGTACCACAAAGGGACGTGTTGACAAGGCCGCACGAACATGTTTCCCTGAATGGATTATGTTGCGTCTACTAAAAACGCACCTGTGTTGTCGTTGCTCGTAGGATTGGAGCTCGGTCATAGAATAAGGAATGTAGTAGGGTTTAAGCCGCGAACTGCACTGACATCGTCATTTTGAGCTTTGCAAGGGCAAGTGAGTAAACAGTAATGGTGAATTGAGTATTTAAGATTAACTCCTGACGAAATTGGGTGTTTTTCTGAGATACTTTTGATAATGTATTAGAATGATCCAGCCGAATAGAAATGAACCCAGCCGATTAGCATTTGCCTAGAAAAAGAACGAACCGGACTGTGAAGTAGCAACTGGGAATGTAGGTCACCTTCAACTTGAAGGCGTGGTACTTAACTAGAGATTATGTAAAAGGACAGGAACACTGCAAATACAGTTTACATGGCGAAATTGCCGAATAACAGATTCAACATATCGAAAGGATCATTCGTACAAGCAGAGACATGTACGACGGCAATCTTGATCGTCGCCCTTTTCCGCTGAAGGTTTTGTACGACGGTCACATTAAAGAGTGGACCATGGTTGCCCACTTTGGCTGTACGTTCATTGTTCTTTGATCGATGGTCGCACCTATTTTCGTAACGACGTTGCCCTTCACAGCAAGCCATGGTCGACAGTCCGTGCCCCTCCGGACTAAAACTCTCGCCGGATCTTCTCACCGATTCCTAAACGGTCACTGCTGCATTGACCATTCACGCCGTCTCTTGCACCTACAGACGTTGTTTCTATGTGAATGGTATCTGCTAAAATGCAGTAAGAAGTGTCCAGGATTGATTCGACTGTCTATCTTGCGCAGCAGCCATACGACGCTGTCTCCTTGGCATCCCTTGTCATAACTGCACTTGTAGACGACATCGACAGTATCTCCTCCATGAAGTACGTCTATAAAACATGCCAGGAACAGCATCCCGTGCTCGCCTACAATACTAGCGATAGTGACAACTACACTCAAGCAGTTGGACGAGGGCTTACAAGTGGAATTTTCAAACCAGCACTATGATAGTGAAGTAGACTCCCGTTGAAGTTGTGCTGTCAGAACGTGCTACTGTCTGGATCCCATCATGGCAAACGCATCCGTTCGCGGAAAGCTAGACGAACGCCACGCATGCCACACGGATGATTTACCCTGGACGTAGCACTTACAACCACTTGATCGAAAGCTCGTTGGCGTCCGCGCAAATTCTCAAAGCAATCAATCACTTCTTAATCCACCCAACTCTCGTCACGTGTCACGTTCGACCACAGAATGAGTGACCCGATCGGTGAGCTCCAAGAACTCTTTATCGACAACGAGTGGGTGCCACCCGTGAACAAAAAGTACATGGACGTCCTCAATCCTGCAAGCGAAGAGGTGATCCAGCAAGTGGCCGTCGCATCGGCCGTGGACGTGGGTCTGGCTGTCCAAGCGGCGAAGCGGGCGTTTGCCACGTGGGGTACCACCTCAGGGACTGAACGTGCGGTGTACCTACGCCGAATGGGTGAGCTAGTGGCTAAACGCATGGATGCACTAAGTCGCCTCGAAACAATGGACAATGGCAAGCCACTGGCTGAAGCCGTGGGGGACATGGAGGACGTCTCCAGCTGCTTCAATTACTATGCCAATGCCGCCGAAGCCTTAGACGCGCGTCAGTATGAAAAGGTGGCCCTCCCTTTGAAAGACTTCCAGGGTGCATTGCGCTACGAACCCGTTGGTGTCGTGGCTGCTGTCATTCCATGGAACTATCCGGCTCTGATGGCACTCTGGAAGCTTGCTCCTGCCCTTGCTGCTGGCTGTACTGTAGTGCTCAAGCCCTCGGAAGTGACTCCATTGAGTGCGCTACAATTGGCCCAGATAGCGGTCGATGCTGGATTACCCGCCGGCGTTTTGAACGTGGTGAATGGCTTGGGAGGGGAAGCTGGAGGTCCGCTGGTCTCTCATCCAGACGTACACAAAGTGGCCTTTACAGGAAGCGTACCTACCGGACGCACCATCATGACCGAGGCGGCAAAAGAGATCAAGAAGATCACTTTGGAGCTGGGCGGCAAGTCGCCCGCGATCGTATTCGACAGAATCAACGTGGAACGCACAGTCGAGTGGGTCATGTTCGGCTGCTTCGGGAACAACGGTCAAATCTGCAGTGCGACGTCGCGGCTACTCGTGCACAAGGACATTGCAGATGAGTTCCTCGAAAAACTCATTGACGAGACGAAGAAGCTCGTGTTGGGAAATCCGCTGGATAGTAAGGTGCAAATGGGTCCACTGGTGTCAAAGGCCCAACAGGAGAAGGTGCTGGGGTACATCCAAAGCGCAAAAGACGAAGGAGCTATCATTGTCCAAGGAAAACTTCCTAGCGGCAACAAGGGATACTTTGTTCCGCCAACCATTATTGCAGGAGTCACCAAGCATATGCGCGTATGGAAGGAAGAGATATTCGGTCCAGTGCTGTCGGTGATGACGTTCGAGACGGAGGAGGAGGCCATCGCCGTCTCAAACGACTCAGATTTCGGTCTAGCAGCTGCCGTCTTTACGTCTAATGACACGCAGCTCGAGCGCGTGACAATGGCCCTGCGTGCAGGTATTGTGTGGAACAATTGCTCGCAGCCATGTTTCGTCGAGCTGCCGTGGGGTGGCGTCAAGAAGAGCGGCATCGGCCGTGAGCTTGGACCTTTCGGACTGAATGCCTATCTCGAACCCAAGCAGATCTGCACCTATGTAGCGGACAAGCCGTTTGGATGGTATCTGAAGTCGTAGCCTATGGAACTCTATGATCGTCAACGTCTGTCCCGTTCACCTTATATCAGTCTGCCTGCATTCTTCCCACTCTATTTCTTCGATGTTCTATGGCGTGAACAAGTCGCTCATTGCTGCTCGTCTGGCCGGTATGAGAATCTGATCGGTCCAAAAGACCCTGAATCTGATTTCTCGAAAATGATCCGCTTCGAACACCGTCGGCCATCCACACACCATTTCGGAACTCAGCACCTAACGCGAACGCGACCCTCTCTCTCTGTCCACTGATTATTATCATCATGCGCCTCATTAGTCTTGTACTAGTCGCAGTGGTGACTCTAGTCGCAACCAGTGCGACCCCGATCGGCACCGAGAAGCAGATTCAATCCACGGATGAGCATCCTGTCAACCTTCGGAGTGTGGAAGAGCGAAAAGGTGGTCGTGGGGGTGGCCGCAGTCGTAGCTGGAGCCATAGTCGTAGCCGTGGACATGGCAAAAGTGGAGGTGGTTACTACGTACCATCGCATGGTTTCTTCCACCACGAGGAAGAGGACAAGCGACACAAAAGCAAGTTTGACAAGTTTCTCGACGAATGGTTTTAAGCCATGAAGAGAAACCGAAACCTACGCGTGGCCTTCGCACAGAACTCAACGAGGGACCAGCGCCTTGCCACACACGGGTGAAGAACTGATACCAAGGTCTGCTGCTATAATGAGTAGGTGGTTCAAGGTATCGTTACGATAACGCTCGAAGTACATCTGTTTCTTGCTGGTCCGGGTGTATGAATGTGAATAGAATGATGTGACTCCAGCGTAGAGTTTAAGCTGCGCAAGCTAAATGTGTACTAAATCATGACTCTTTATGCTTACGTGTCAGACCAGTACGCCCGATTCTACAGCTAGATCGGCGTCTGCACTCGCCGACTCCGCAGAATATCACGGCTAAGTGAAAGCTGAGTGAATAACAAGCAGCCTGTTAACCCCTTGAGCTATGCACAGAATCCCGTGCTTCATCCAGACTAACGTGACCTTTCAAATTAGTGCGCTAAACGAATGGTTAAGCAAAATGACTGAAACACATGATCAACAAAAGCAGGTGTAGAATTGGGCATATCTCTGAACAGCCAATTTAACCGACCATCTCATGCACAATTTTCTGTGATTGTTTGTTTTCAAACTCAGCTGCAATTCAGATATTCAGGAATTGCCACCAATCAGTTTAGTGCGCTAAAATCACTTGGTCTTACTATCTGTCAGGTTGCCTGGCTGCTTTCGAAATCAACTCTAGCCCGTCGAGGTACAATTTCTGTCAGTTTTTATTTTTAAATTATGATTGAATGTTTAAGGTATAAATTTTCGGTACTCCAGTCTGCACGCATGTAATTGTCAAGAAGTCGTGTCACTCGTTATTCAAAACAACACCATTATGCTCGATATTTGCACCACTCTAGGCCAACGGACTCGCCAAACCCGTTCATTACAGCCACTACAGACTTGCCGAAAGTCTGTCAAGCATCAAACGTTCCGGGAACAGCAGCGTTCGAGCCGTTAAATAGTGTCAAGAGCTCTGCTTTTTGTGCGGTAAAGCATCTTTGGTTTAGCCTAACACTACGAAACTTCCAGCTGTGGTAGCACATGGCAGCACAGGACCTACGACCTTGCGTTTATCAACCTACCGAAGCAATCGAGTTTCATAACATACACAAGGAGGTGGGAGTTGAAGAAGTTGTCGGGCATTAATCGCACAAACAAAACAAACGTACCCCTGTGTTTTCCATTTACGTAAATATCGCGCACCCTCTCGTTCAAAAACAGAAACGCTGCCGAACACTACAAGATCCGCGTCTTGACACTGAAAAGAAATATACTGCATGTAGACCAATATGGACCCCGCTAGTGTAACGGGGCACCCTTTGTCTGGGTGCCACGAAACTTCACGTACACTAGTACGTGCAGAGGAAGCTAATCTACTCAACAACTAGGTTGAGTAAAGGGTAAAAAGAGAACTGTATCTGATATAGTTAAGCTATCGATATAACTTCAATCGTTATCTAACTATACTAAACTACGTCGTCGCATGACGACAACCTGCTCACCACTCATTGCGCGCGTCTAGCAGCGATTTGTGGCAATCTATGGTTGATATGTCTTTATCAACCAATCTTGGAGCAGCGCATGAATCTTATCTAAAGGGGATAAAAGTTCTTCAATATCAATTACCTCAGATAATTTTAGTAGGATATTGTAATGCTCGATAATATCCCTATTGACACCGTTTGGTGTCAAAATCATGTAACGGGCTACCCCGTTACATCACCCCCCCCTTTTAACCATCAATCACCCGTTGATTGAATTAGAATTGATTTGGACAGGGTGACCACCGTTGGATCACTCTGGGAAAGAGAGCACTTGTTGGTCGAATTCCATTCATTTGCCAATTTAACGCATGGTTTCGAAAACCACGCGAGCTGCTACTGCAGCAGCAGGAAAGGTGGATGCACGCATGCGTGCAGCCGCGGAAATTGCCTCTTACACCTCAGCAGTAGGTGATTCGTCGCCTGTTTTTGTGAATCGTCCACGTGGTGAGTCACCACTTGCGACGGGTACCTCGAGTCGTAATTGAGATGAGTCTGAAATAGAGCTCATCTATTCTGACGATTCGGATAATGTTTACGACTCGAAGGCGACACCTCACGCCTCCGGGTCACCCGGGGCGGACACTGCAAGATCCAGATTGACCGGCTCTGGTCAACGTGGCGGTATCATGTCCGAGATCTTCGAATCGAGTGATTCTTCTGACGAATCCTCGCCTCACGCAAGTCCATTCAACGATAGGACGCGTGGGGATGGTGGCGATGCACCTATACATCACCACGAGCGAAGTAATTCAAGGGATCGGGGTAACACTGGTGCCAGTGCTCATACTGGCACCAATCAAGATGCCAGGGACCGAAATGTCCTGCACCACGCTCCTCAAGTGGAGTCTCCGTGGATGCCGTCATCCAGAGAGTTAAATCGAGTGGCCGGCACGACTACCGAACGGGATCGAATCCCGTTTTTCGATTGTAGGAGGATTTGTCCACCTGATTCCGGCACGGAAACTATTCGTGCTGAGGAAGAGTTCTTCACCAATGCGTTCTTCAACCATCGGTGGTACAATGGCATCCGTGTTCGAGACGGCAAAGCCTTGGTGCAGGGATGTAATTCTCTCGTCCACAACATCGAGTGCATTGGCCCTGATGCCTAGCTCGCCGAACTAGATGCAGTTCGCATCAGGTTTGAGAAACGCAACCCAGTCGGGGCGCGATACAAGTTGCACCGGCTGTCAAGAGAGGCAGGATTACCCTGTCTCTCGTGGAATGATTCGTGTCCAGGTTGCCTGGACAACTCGAACCGTGCCCCTAGGGAGGCCTTCCTTCCTAATGATCCCTACTGGAGGGCGCGCATCCCGTCCGAGATGGCCGAAGGGATTGACACCTTGCAATCCCTGTACTCGCGTTCGGGGAGGTCGTTTTCCAACGGCCCTTCTTCGAACGCAGCGGGTGGGTCTCGTCGTACTGATCGAAGAGACCAAGGACATCAACAATCAGCTGGGCACGAGGCTCCCAGCTGTCCCACGTCGGTGGATAGCCACGCCAGTGGACGAGGTAACTCGTCCGGACGCCATTCACGTCGCGGTGGTTCAAAATACGCTCCACTAGAAAGCGTTGACCACCGCTAGAGCCCACCAAAAGATGCGATGGCGGTGGGAACACCTGAACCGGCTCGCGGGTCGGATCAAATTGATGTTGAGGAACTGAGCCGTGCAATTAATCAGTTGCACGATGATCTGGATCATGAACGGTCTCGGCGCTATGAGCTCATGATCTTGTTAGGGATAATTACAATTCCTTAGCGCACGATTGTTTGGACGATCATGCTGCGTTTGCGTTTGCACAAGTTGAGAACGAACGTTCGACTCGTTCTCTTCATGACGAGCTGGCTGTAGCTCTTAAAAACATCGCTCAACTGCTTGAGCAGGTCGCTTCGCTAGTTGACCAGACTGGATCGTTGAAACGAGACCATTCGAGGGTGGTCTCGGCTCTCGACCGCGGAGGTGTTCTTCGCATCTCGAAACGGGCTCGTACTGATAGTACGGGCGGACACGTCCAGCGTAAAACGTAGGATGCTTACGCATCTTACGGGGCAGTTCAATCGTGTGTGCGCTGCCCATTCGGCGCAAACCCACGAAAATGACCGATGTACTTGGGCTGTATTTTACTGCTGCCCACGTTTGTCACTGCGTGCTTCGGTAAGTTTACTGTAGACAGTAAAACTAAATCTCCTCGATCAAATGAAAGAACATTTGCTCTTTTATGTTTGTCTACGTTTCTTTTCTGTCTGTCTAGTGCATCTGCAATAGAGTCTCGAACGAAGCGGACAACCGCTTCGCGAGTCAGCAGAAACTCCTCTGCTGATTCATCCTTGTTAACAGCAGTGCGCTTCGTGTGCACTGCTGAAAAAACGTTGTCTTCACCAGTGGGGGTATCATCGTCCTCACTTTGGCGGGCATTGGCGATGCTGAATATGCCAGCATCGTCATCATCATCATCATCTAAATTGATCTCATCGACATCGGCATCCACCACGTTGACACCATTGTTGACGGGTGATGAGCAAGAACAGATCGGTTTTTGTTCGAGCGAGTCCACTCCTTAAAACTAGAGTCACACTCTAAGAAGGCGGGTAAACATGGATGACGTAGGCCATTCACGAAGAACGGTGTATGCGTCGTTGACGCGTGCACCGAGTTGTGATGGCGAATTTTGCCATCGGAAAGAATCTACTCCAAATCGTAAACAAGTGGACATACCCTCGAAGTATCTCTATGAAGACGCGGTTGACGCGTTCCGTCTGAACATCTGTTTCTGGATAGTCAGAAGTCGACATTTTCAAACGTTTTCCAGGTGAACGGAACACGGATTGCCAGAACTCCGCTGTGAAGCAGGGGTCCCTATCGGACACGAGTTCACGGGGTAACCCGTGAATTTGGAAGATAGTATCGATGAAGACACGCGCACAGCCCTGGGCTGTGATTGACCCCGGTACAGTTACGAGATGTACCATCTTGCTGAAAAGATCAACAAACACAAGAATACCAGTATTTTTGTGAGCGTCTTTGGGAAACCCGAAGACGAAGTCCATCGATACGGACTGCCAACACTCTGCCGAAATCGAAAGAGGCTGTAAGGGTGCGCGGATGAAGGACTAGGCTTCACCCGCTGACAAACTTCGCAAGCGCGAATGCATTTGCGCACGAACCCATACTGGCGGGGCCAGTAGAAGTCACGACTCACCATGAGGTAAGCCTTTTCTATACCGCGATGCCCACTTGTCGGGGCATCGTGACACTCCTACATGATGCGCAATCGCAAATCATTATGATCCGGAACGACGACACGAGCTGTATCGCCATTGACTGCTTTATAGTACAGCAGTCCATCACGGACAGAGTACGTTCGGTTGAAGAGCGGTATTGAGACGACAAGCTTTTCAAAGCTTGATTACACGGATTGGATACGTAATCCATCAACCGCAGATGAGACTCATCTTCTGTGTACGCTTTTCGCACGTCATCGAGCAGATTCGACGACGTAACACTCACTGACAGTGTCGCCACAGTGGGATCACCCCTACTATTGGTTTGAGCAGTCGGCTCGAAATCAGGCCGGCGCGAAAGAGCATCAGTGACGACATTAGGTCGTCCTGGTTTATACTCTACGGAGAAGTTGTAACCCGCGAAGAAATACAGCCACCTCACCATTCTTTGCGAGAGGTGTGGACTGTTTACGGCCGTGCGTAATGACGCATGGTCTGTCTGAACGTTGAAGGGCCTATCTCCTAAGAGATATACCCGAAACATAGCCAGTGCATATTATATGGCACGGCGTTCCTTGTCATGCACCGGGTAATTACGCTCAGCTGCTTGTAGCTGACGTGATTGATAACAGACGACGCGCTCAACGCCGTCTGAGTCGTACTGCATTATCGCGCAGCCGATTGAAAAATTGCTGGCGTCACAGACCACATGGAATGGTCTATCCTGGTCTGCAATCGCGAATACAGGCGATTGTATCAAGCTTTTCTGTAACCTTCAAAGAATTGCTGACCCTCATCACTCCATGACCACCTCTCGTTTTTCTTTAGCAAACGAGAGAGATGTACGATCATCTCGGCGTAGTTACGCGAGTACTTAAGCAATATCACCGCCAAGCCAAGGAACTTTCGAAGTCCCTTGACGTCGACTGGCACAGGCCAGTCACTAATCGCTGATCGCCTTGATCTTTTTCGGATCAGGGCGTACACCTTTTTTGTACCCACGATGCAGCCAAGAAGTGGTATTTGGCTCGCTGTGAATACGCATTTTTTTAGGTTCGCGAATAACTTATGCTCTCGCGTAAGAGGACCTTCCGGACGTGGATTCTATGAACATCCACGTCCGTCTTTCCATCCATAGCCCGGCTATGGACGAAGACATCGTCGAAGTAACTCGGTGTGAAGTCGCGCACCGATCGCAACAGAATCGTAAAACATCTGTTAAACAATGCGGGGGCGTTACTTAGCCCCTATGGCATCACTAGCCACTCCCAGAGCATACCGCTGGGGGTGCTCACTGCTGTGTACGGAATATTCCGTGCTCGCATGAGGATTTGAAAAAATCCATCTATCGGATCCATGGACGAAAAAATGGCACTCTTTGCCATACCACCTATGGTATCGTCCTTCCTTGGGATCGGCGTTTGAGCCGGTACCGTTGCAGCGTTCAGTTTGTTGAACGCGTGCACTATCCGCCACCCTCCTGTGGCCTTTCGCACATAGAAGGTCGGAGAGCTGTGTGAAGATGTTGATTCCCTCACATGACCAGCCGCTAATCGATTGGCAAAGAATTTGTCGATCACTGTAACCTGTATACGAGGCAGTGGCCACTGTTTCATGACACATTATTTCAGACCAGGTTTCAGTTCGATCTCATGCCGAGTGCCTTAATCCTTAGGCAGCTCGCATGGCACGGATTCAGGGAAAACATCCCTGAATTCAACCAAATCCTTATGCAAAGGATTTGTCTTTAAAGACTCCCAAGATTGAGGCGTGTATCGCTCAATCCGAGTTTTCTCGTCGAGGACACTCTCGTCCGTCGATGAGCTACTGAACCCGTTCGTTCTCAGCAAACACTTGTGCCGACCAAATATCGGCGACGTACTCGTCCTCTGTGACGAGTACGCAGATCTGCTTTAATCTTGTCACTACGCAGATCTCACAAGAATTTTTTAGATTCTAGCGTTGAAACTTAATTACCTCCCAAGATGACTTCGGAGGTGTGACCAGATCAAGTGTATAAGCGCCTACACTTGATCCGTCATTCACCAAGACATTTATTGACTCGGTGATTTTCTGGGATAACACATCTGCAGGTGGTTAGGAATCCACACCCTCAACATAACTCTCTCGGGAGTTATCACTCTCAGAACACTGGAACTTTCTTCCATTACGTGTACAATCACGGTCAAGCCCTCTACGATCAACTCTCTTTCAGTCGAGCGGGCTTGCTCTACGATCGACTCTCTGATAGTCGATCTCGCTTTAATGTGTTGTTCATCCTGAACAACACTACTCTCTCTTCTCGGATGCACCCTTCTCGGTGTGCATTCGTGTTCCAGTCCACTCGATCGCTTCGAGTGGTGAACCTTCGGCGCAGCTTGTGTCTCTACACAGGTGCCGGGAGCTGGTTCCACAGTGCAGTGGCCTTCTACACTGTGATCTTGTGCAGTCATACTAACGACCGTACCATAAGTGAGACCATCGCACTTACTCGTAGTACATCCACACGCTTGTGGACGCTCCAAGACGTTCATCAGATGGCCATCCGATGAACAAAGGCAGGCATCTTCACGGATCGATGCTGCCAGCTAACTCATGGCTGGTACTTTCTAAGCCATGGCAGACCGAGGATGATATTAAATTTGTAATCCAAATCTGGCAAGTTGAAGCCATGATCTACTTTGCTTTTCTTATAGCGTGTAGTGGATTCCCACTACACGTTAGTTCACTGTTATGGATGCGCCTGTAGCAAGGCACACCGTCATCCTCGTAGGAAAAAACTCTCGCTTAACATAGTTGGGACTACTATCTTCTAGCAAACGGCTTCCAGCAAAACTGTTCGACAACCCACAGTCAACTAGGGCGCGAAGTGACATTCCACTTGTCACTTCGATCTTCAAAGTGATGAGAGACTCCTCATCACTAAGGGCAGTAACACACAGACACTGCGTGTTGGGATCAATCTTCGTCAAGAGTCGTGCAAATTTTCTTGACGTTGCTGGATCAGCAGGGTGCTCCGCCCCTACTGACCCTGTCCGTTTTTTGGTGGTCCAACTTGCTGTCGCAGCTTAGAGACATGGTCGAACCCGCGCCTTCGACCTTTCCTCGGCCAACGGCGGTCATCACATCCTGTCTTAGGACGTGTTGCAGTGCTCGGGGCACTACACTCATGAGCGTAGTGTCCAATCTTCTGACAGCGATGGCATCTTGCCGTTCGCTTGTGACTCAGATAGCGAGAGTTCTCGCTCTCGATGTAACAGAGGTTCATTGGTTCGGGACCTCCTGTTTCCTGTCGCCTCGTCGGACGATAGTTTGACGAGTTAGCCTGAGACTGTCTCAGGCTGACGTCTTCTTGTTCCGCATACGATATCGCTTTTTCCAGCGTATGGAAGTCCTCTTGAAACATGTAGGTCTTCACCGGCCCATCCACAAGGCCGTAGATGAACACGTTGATGAGCGTGTGCTCATCGACAGGGTTCTCCGTAATGCTACTAGCAAGGTAGCGCAGGTGCTGTGCGTACGCGTGCACGTCACGCTTAACTTGCTTTAGCCTCGAGAGTGCAGAGCGAGCTCTGAATTCGGCTCGTGGCGGCTCAAACGTCTCTTGGAGCCGAGACTTCAAGATCTCCAACGACTCAAACACGTTTGGATCGTGAAGCTTGAGCCCTAAGGCCCAAGTCTTTGCTCTTCATGCCAAATTTGACAGGGCGAATTTGACTTGCATCTCGTCACCCTCGATGTGACGGGCCCTGATGGCGTCGTCTTACTCGACAAACCATCCTAAATGAGATCCTTCATCGGTTCCCTTGTACCTTGAGATGTCTATCTACAAGGTTTCGGGTTGACGCATTTGCGTCGGCCCGCACATAGACTGATGAGAGCCTTGCTGTTGTAGCAAGGCTATCTTCTGTCTTTCGATGTCAAGTTCCCCTTGTAGGAACTTGTTGATAGTGTGTCAAAGCGGTTACAAGGAAATTTCTGTTGGGACTTAGATCGGCGATCGCACGGATCGCACGCCCCAGTTAAGCCAAGAATGCTATGATTGGTAAATACAGGCCGAGACGGGTGGCTAGCAATAGCGTACCCAAACCCCAAGTGGACAGGATCGTACAGCCTGGGACGAGGCTATAGGATGGTCACACCCGTTTTGATTACGCAATCCGTCTTGAGAAGTGTCAAGACAAGATCCTCGATCTCACTGGAAGGACTTGCGATCCTAACCTAGGATCGCAAGTCCGATCTCAGCTGCGATCCGCTAGTAGGATCACGATCCGCTAGTAAAGATCACAATCCGGTAGTAGGACCACGGTCCACTAGCAGGATCACGATCCACTGGTAAAATCACAATCCGGTTGTAGGATCACGATCCACTGGTAGGATCACGATCCACTGGTAGGATCACCATCCGGTCGTAGGATCACGATCCACTAGCAGGATCACGATCCACTAGTAAAGATCACGATCCACTAGTAGGATCACGATCCACTGGTAGGATCCCGATCCGCTAGTAGGATCCCGATCCACTAGTAAGATCACGATCCGCTAGTAGGATCACGATCCGCTAATAGGATTTCGATACCTTGGTAAGATCACGATCCGCTAGCAGGATCATGGGGGTATATTGGGTGGGCCACAAGAAGAAACAACTGCTGATGTACTGGGTGTGGACCACACAAATGCGAGGGGACGATTTCCTGGAAGGCGACGCGTGGCATCTGGTTAGGATATAGGGGTAGGCATAGGGGAAGGGTTTAGGTTGGTTGGTTAACATTAAACAGAGTTTAATTTACTTCACAAGGCACACGTTATCTCTTCCGGGTAGGATATTTGGCCCCCGTCGTAAAAAGAGTCGCGCTACACGTCTACGCAAGTATCACACCTGGATTGTTTTGGCCAGGTGTGCTCAAGAACTCTCAAGCAACATCAACTGCGATTGGGCGCAGCAAAACACGTAAAAGAGGTGCAAGATCGCGAGACGGTTCAAGTAATCAGAAGGCTCGCGAATCAAGCAACCACATAGTGGACAAGGCGATCTCGTTGAGATCAGGGTAACTTATATCAGTACCCACGAGTACCCCGTGATCGCGTGAAGATTTCCGCACGATAACAACCCCATCCCAAACACGGTCAAGTTTTTCTTCGACACGAGTCCATCTGGAAGAGTGCAACCCGCCCTACCGACGGGTACACAAGGTGAGGAAGGCAGCACACACGAAATCGGAGTACCCCCTCCGTTAGTCGGTCGTCCGGGCGCCAGTGGAGAGTTGGGATCGACTCATAAAATGAGCGATCGCCACTTTACCACAATAGCACCATGTTGCTGGTCTCTGCTTAGAAACTCCGATATGACAATGATGGCGGGTTCGCCCATGAGCACACTCATGCGGCCGACTACCTACCATTCTATGTCACTTAGATAAGAGTAGCCTTCACTTGTTATGTGAAAGCTGTCGTCTTCTACGTCCAACACATCATTGTAGACGGGGTACAAAGTGCTACCAGGCGTAACGGGGCACCCTCTGTTTGGGGAGTTGCGAAACTTCATGTACACTAGTACGTGCAGAGGAAGCTAATCTACTCAACAACTAGGTTGAGTAAAGGGTGAAAAGAGAACTGTACATAATGTAGTTAAACTATTAATACAACTTTAATCGTTATCTAACTATACTAAACTACGTCGTCGTATGACGACAACATGCTCACCACTCATTGCGCGCGTCCAGCAGCGATTGGTGGCAATTTATGGTTGATATGTCTCATATCATTCAATCTTCGAGCAGCGCATGAATCTTATCCTAAAAGGGGATAACATTCCTTCAATATTATCCATCTCGGATAACATTAGTAGGATATTGTCATGCTAGACAATATCCCTATTGACACCGTTTGGTGTCAGTTTTAATGAAACGGGCTACCCCGTTACGTGACAGCTGATTTTCCGTCCTTTTAACCATATCGCACTTACACACCAGCCAATGGCTTCAGTTTGTGCGCTTGATCCCCCACTCCTGTTTGCAGGCAGTACCTTGTTCCCTTCTACTTACTCGTGAGCAGCACATTGTATATCTGAGAGCCGTAAAGTTTCAGCCATGGTTCTGTACTACAGAGTGAGCTGCACAGCGAGAAGAGTGCTTACACCAATCCACAATTACGTAGGATGCAAACCAAGCAGCTCGGTCTTCGACAATTCCGGGGTGAGCACAAAGTTTATTCAGCATCGGAGCTTTCTCGATAGGTGACCACCGTTTCTTTCGTTCGCGCGATACCGGATGTCCCAACTTTCGCACATTATTTTCAGTTTGTCACAATGGATGGCGAGTGTGGCGCAGTCGTGGCATCATTTCTATCTTTGCAAGAGCGCCGTGAACTCCGAGCAGTTAGCCGACGGTGGCTGTTCACTTGCTCTTGGTTGCAATTCAATGACAGCGATGAAGCTGCTGGGCAGTCTAGAAACTCAGTGTGGAATCTGCGCAGCCGCGCGTTTCGACACGCGTGGACCACGTTCATGCGCAATGAAAGCCATTCGTTTCTACCACATCTACTGGAGCTGCTGCCCGCGATTGCAATAACGGATACGATGGAGCTCAAAAAAGGGCTTTGCTTATCCACAACTACAGGGCGTCGACCGTCATTCACGAACACGCATGCTCGAAGCGGGTATATCCAGCAGAAGATCAATCGCTGCGGGAATTTGCCCAACCTGCTGCTGACTGCAGAACTAAGTGAGCTGCGGTCGAAATTGTTCCGAAGTCGCCGATCCGGGTATTGGAACATGGCTTTGTATGGTGGAGGTCCGGCGTACGACGTCCTTGGACTCGTCTTCATGCGGAAGTACTTTCGAGCTCAGGACGTGGAGTTCCGTGCCACAGTATACGACAACGAACCAGGTTGGAAAGGTGCGATTGATGCTGTGGAGCAGACGTTCGACCGACTTGGCCAACGTAACATCTCACTGAGCTTCCAGCATTGCGACATCACGCTCGACATGTGTGCTGCGGAGAACGACGACGTGCGCCGCTCACTTGGGTCCACGAATCTGCACCTCTTCTCCTTTGTGTGCGTCGAGAATTTCTGTCTCCTGCGTGACAGCGCCTACGTGTTTCTCCAGGCGCTCTTCTCACAATGCAGTGACGGCAGCTATTTCATCTTTACCGACTCGACGCATCGGCTATGGCCTGCCATTTTCCACGTCGCCAACACCCTGGCACCCGACAGGTTCCGTGTGTCAACGCCGTATGCTCGCAGCTGCCACTACGCTCTCGTCCTGGAGAAACTCCCGAGCTACTCAACACCCGCCGCATCCTCCTCCCCATTCTACACGCAAGCGATGCACAACCTCCGAGACTTCCAACGCCATCAACAACACCACCTCGACAATAGCGAGAAGAACGGGACCTACGCGAGAAGCACCAATCTAGTCGAGTAATCCCCACGACAGGAGGGATCGAGCATACCTGGCTGCTCGACACACTCAGCGCGATCTCCTACATCACAATTCCTACAGCAGTACCGTCACCTCGTCTGTCTTCCGTACCATGTGCACTCTAGCAGCTACAAATCGTACACGCCCTGCCCCCAACAGCTCTTTTCGGCTCTTCACCAAGCCAGTCTCTCCCCCCTCCCGCTGGATCCCCATCCAACCAGCCAGCCAGCCAACCAACAGTCAGTCATTTGTCCAGTTAGCCAGTCAGCTAGGTGTCGCCTGGCCTCACCCCACTCATGACCGAAGTGACGGTCTCCCGCCGCTACTCGGCCGCTCCTGCTTCCGCCACCACGTCCTCGTCCAATGAACTCGTCCGCTCCGTCCTACTGAAGGACGATCCGGTCGTGACCGCCCCCCTCGTCTCCGCCCTCAGCAACGACGTGGCACTCGCACGTTTCGCCAACTTGATCACCCGCGTCCAACGTGACGACGGAAATCCGACACCCACGACGTCCCCGGACGGTCCCACCCGCGCCAAACGCGCCACTACAATCGACGTCTTGACCCGCCGGAAAGACGAGGCGCTGGACGACGTGACGCCGGAGCTGCTCACGTCGTACCGTGCGACCATGTTGCTGACAAACGATGACACGGCGGAAGCCTTGCTGACGTTCCTAGGGGACAAGAGCAAGCTGCTGACGCGCTGTTTCTTTGCTGTGTTTGACAGCGACGCCCAGGGCAATTTGCGCCACGCGTGTCGCGTGATTGACCAGCTCCTGCGGTTCTATCTGGACGACGTGTACGACGTGCTGGGCACAGATGCAAAGACCGTGGAACGCTACATGGGTGCTATGCTGCCGTACTTGGAGTACGCGCCGGTGGCGGAGCTCTTTTTGACAGTCATTTGCAAACCGCATAGTGCAGCGGTCATGAGGTTCTACACGTCGACGCCGCCGAAAAAGTGGGCGTTCTTTCGAGCGCTAGCCGAGTGGAAAGTGCTGCTTGTTTTGGCAACTCATGTGTGGAGCAGCGAGTATGGCGAGACCCACTCGATTGGGGCTGCCGATGTGTTTGTTGAGCTGCTTGATCGACTCGCAGCAGACGAGAATGGACAGTTGCTGTTGCAGCCAGCTGCGTACTGCTCGGAGTTGCTGGAAGGGTTGATCTCTGCAGCAGTAGAACCAGATCGTGACCAGGCAGGTCCACAGAGGACGGTGGCACAACGCACGGCTGCAATGAAGTGCGTGTTTCGGCTCTTGCAGAAGAGCAAGCTGGAGAAAGTGCAAGGACCACCCACGAGTCCGTACCAGTCGTTTGGTGCAACGATCGTGAATCTCGTGCCGAATCAGCTCGAACCTCTGCGTGAAAAGATTTACCAGATCGTGGAACAGCACCTTGGTGACTTGCTCAATTATCTCATTCAGAAATATGTGAGTCAGCAGAATATTGAAATGCCAGGGGGAGAATCTGGCAAGCCACTGCCAGCGAGTGCAGTTCGCCACACGGCATATGTGGTGAAGGTACCGTTTACGGAATTGCGTCTCATGCTTGCAGAGACGCTTGTGGAGGTCATGGCGCACAACTCGCACTTGATGAGCGAACATTTTGACGTTAACGTTTGGCGCGTGCTGCTCACGTGGTTCTTTGAGTATGCCCATAATAATCTGTACCATGCAGCTTTCTACCAGCTTGTGTTTATCGCACTGCGTACTGACAGCCAGCAGGCACTAGAGGTGCTTGTAAAAAAGCTAAAGCTGGTCACGCTATTGGTGGAGCACTACCGTGCAGACGGCGACTCTACAAGCAATAAGGGCTACATTCTACGGATTTGCAACGCTATTCGTCTACAAGCAGCGTCGCAGTCACCTGACGCGTTTTTGCGCCATTTCTTGCAGTCGCACACGACGTGGCGTTCGTTTGAGCAGGAGCTGCGTGACCAAACTGCTTTGCTTTGCATGGACGGTCTGGGATTTACAGTTCCGCAGGGGTATCAGGACAACTCGTGGCAAATGCAAAGCGAAGAGCAGGATACGGGCATTGATCACGGGTCTAAATTTGCTCGTTCACTAGGCTTTACGGATGACGTCGCGTGGCCGGAGGATAATGCAGTAGACGGCAGCAAGAAGCGCAAGAAAAAAAAGAAAAACAAGAAGAATTCGCGTATTGCGAGCACTAATGGTATACAGGACGCCGCCGAGGTTGATTGTCCGGTCGATGAAGTAACTAGCAAACCTGAGGATGTTGCTGCGCGGCATTGAAAGCAGCCAAGGAGGCCAAGTCAGCTACAGACAGGTAACTGCTCGAAAGCTGGTCGGTCACCGAAGCGAGTGCATTCAAGGAAAGGAAGCGACAGGAAAGTGTCCAAGGATAGAGGATCGTGTCTTATGTTTTCCAGAACGCAGAGACAGGTAATTTAGGTAGAGACAACGTTGGTGTCACCAGGTCAGCGGATTGGAGCAAACGGGCAGTTGCGGTTGGGCAGGGCTAGCAGCATGGCTCATTCCGCCAAGGAGAACAGTATGTTATCAGCTTGTGGCGAATACATCGTGAATTATTTCGTGCACTTATACATCCGTAGGCCGCGAAAGGCATTGTGTTGTACACAGTGTTTTTCTAGTTTGGTGCTCCGTGGCCTAATCTTACTCAATGGTAGCTTGGCCATTTGGATAACAAGTTTGCCGTCATGACGATGAATAGCTAGCTACATTAAAAAGAAAACTGACAGTCAGGTAAATCGCAAGCAGACGACGACTCACATCTTGCCTGCCAGTCGGTGAGGCAACCTAAGGTCTGGGAGCCATGGTAATGTTAGTAATAAAACATGTTTTCGAGTAATTCATGAAGACGTGAAGGACTGTCGATAGCAACAGTGGTGGTAAAAAAAGTTTAAATATGCGATCGACACTAGATCGATGAATCATTCGCAGCTGCCTGGAATGCAGTCGCTTACCCAAGGTATCAATCGTTCACAAGTAAACTGCGTTCTCAGGTACGATACCGCTGGTTTCCAACTATGTCACACCAATTGAAGAAACGATGCAGTGTCATTCGTTGAACACCCTGACGAAAAAGCTGAAAAGCTGAAGCTTTTGCAAATGACAAATGGTCGAGATTCTCGAAGCGAGGATCCGGCTAACTTTGCTCTCGTGAATGCATACCATCTTGTTTCCTCCTTCCGTATAAGGTTGGTCCCCTACGTTGCACACAGCTTGCATTTATCCAAAATGATGACCATACTGCGACGCGCGCGCGAAGTTGCTCTTTCGTGTCACCATAGGAGGCGGTCGTACATTCGATTGTCGTCGCAATGCAAAGGAGTACCGATGTTCGTGCGCTATTGAGAGAACCGAAATTTGTTAGTTGCTAGTGCATTGCAGAACAAGTGTTTACCGTGCATGTTGATTAATCCACACCATGCCCACATTGTAACGAGCTTTAGCTTTACAGTACGATTGTGCTGGATCACCAGTGCCATTACGTGATACATCAAGTCTCAAGGTTGCGTTCCTAGCTCAGCCTGCAGCAGAAAAAAGGCAGTAACTAGCCGGTATGAGCTTGAGAGACGAGAGCAAAGACTAGCTCATCCGTATTCACCACTACACCAGCCACTGTGACGTCTTCGCATCACAAATCTGTGTACGCGAGTTCGACCGTCTACTTTTATTTACGCGCTGATCCCAGTCCAGTCAATTCCGCTTCCCTAATAACAGCAACAACAAGTAAGAGACATGTCTACCACGCGGAAGGCATCATCGGAAAGGATCACAAACCATGGATTGATGCGATTGTTGTCCGCCCCATCATCGTCGTCCCACGTGATGCGCAATGACTCCCACGGCAGCATACCGTGTTTGTCAAATGGCAAAGATCCTGCAGTAACGCCCCCGTAATACTCGCCTGGTTGACCTTGCGGGTTGCGGAATAGCATACGGAATTTTTCTCCACATTGCCACGTGTGGTTGACGGCCCACGAATATCGACTCGCATCCACAATGTACTCAGGCAATCGATTTTCCAGCCGCAACATAGTCACAATCGAACGAGTAGGCAGCTGCTCCCCACCGTCTACTGGTGATTCGTCCTGGTTCGTCGACACGCTTCTCTTCTCTGAAGACAACGGGGACAAGCAGCTTTTCTCCATGGCCGAAGGATCGTCATGGGTGTCTTCGCATGCACGAATCTCTTTGCCCCACTTCTCGATCTGCCCATCCGCAATGTTGACCAAGTTGTGGGCCAGTGGCGGGAGTGTTGGAAAACGACCTTCGCAAAACAGCTGACAATTATCCCGGATGAGTCGCAGGTCAGCCATAAACTCGGCCGCAGTGTCATACTTCAGCTCGATGGCCTTCTTTGCCATTCTACCGAGATCCATGGGATGCAAGATAATCTCCTTGTACTGAGGAAACTCTCGATTGGACACAGGCTCCAAGAACGGACCGGCATCAGCGAGCATCTTCAATCTCGCCAGAACACGCAAAAACACTCGAGCTAGTCTCTGTTTTCGTGACGGTAGTGGACACAGAAGAGTGCCTGGCGCGCGGACGCATTCGTGTTGTGCCATATCCGCAATCGGTTGCAATACTGCCAATGCGTAGGGGTCACCTCCACCGTGGTGATACGACACATTTTTCACCATGCAAATGACCGTTACATTTCGAACAGGGGTGTCGCTGTTCTGAGTAAAGCGCTTTCTTTTGGACTTCTCGTCTTCTTTCAGCGCTAGTGCATGGCCATCCCCGAAATAGACAACGACCGCTCCTGGCTCAGGAATAAAGTTTCGGGCCTCTTTTGGTCGCAACTTGAGCCACTCCCTCCGATCCAAACGGATATGCAAATCCAGGAAAGCTTCCACGTTAATAAACTCTTCCAGTAGCAGGTGAAGCAGAAACACCATCTGCGCATATGTGCAGGAACCTTCCAAGGCCAACCGCCACTCACGTCGCTTCCGCTGCCACGATGGTCGAATTGTCTCCATTCCAGAATGTAAGGTTGTTACTGCAGTACTTTCCAATTCGGCAAACAAATCAAGTTGCTCCTTGAACGATTTTGCTTCTACAACACGATTACCCCACGTTTGGGCTCCTTCCCATGAAGCAGGCAATGTTTTTGCGTTCACGAGTTGCTGCTTCAAGTAGAGCAACATTTTCTGGGCAATACCTCGTGAATCGATGACCCTGTCTGCATCCGCAATCGTTATAATTTCACTCTTACCGCCAGCCCCGGTCTGCCATGCGCCACCACGAAGCGGAAACATCGAAAGCTCGATGCTATCCGTGCTAGCCCACACGAGCTCAGAAGTACTCTCGTCTTGCTTCTCACGAAAGTAATCAATCAGTCTGTCTTTTACAGACTGCAACTTCTTTAACAAATCCAGCTCTCGAACGCCCTTAGGATTTAGCCATTCCATAATCTCCATTAGCTGCGCTTTACTGCCACAAATTACAAAATCGCCCGTATCTCCACGTTCAATGAACAATCGGGGCTTCGTATCGTTTCTAAACATAAAGTACGAGTTGTGGTACCGGTCTTTTCCTAAAGGAGACTCCCGAATGATAATTGAGCTCAGATCGTTTACCAGTATCTCCGCCTGAACTTTTTTCTCTTGCTCCAAGGTTTTCTCATCCTCAATTTTCTCAGCCAGGATGTCCTCAAAAAATTTCCCGATGAACTTGTGGCGGCGCTTAATGCCCTCCGAGAAAACGTTGTGTGAATTAGGATGAATACCTTGGCTGGCACAATCTCTTCTGAACGCATACTCCTTCTCACGTCGCATCTTGTCCGACTGTTTTCTCCTGAAATCCAGATCGGCCGCGCGTTTTCGATGGTTCTTATATACCATCATCTCCTGATCCACTTGAGCTGCCAGATACGCCCGAACGCTGGACAGCGTCAGAAATTCCGAGCAAATCCATGAAAGTGCACCGATTTTGTATGCTGAGGGAAGCTCGTGAAACTCCATACAGTACAGTCCATAGACTACATCAGAATATTGGAACGATTCCAGCTCTTTTGCGAACGGATCTTTTAGCCTTTCTTTTGCCTTCTCACACCCTTCGATCCGGCGCTGGTTTGCGCGAACGCGTCCGACGACAAGCCTTTCATAGTCTTGCTCAAACACATCCGACAACGCCAACGCAGCACGACCCACCTCTGATTCCTCTCCATTGTACAGTACAGCATTATCCCACACCAATCGAACATCTTCAGCAAACTTTTTGTGCCCATCGGGCCCCTCGTAACCCCCCGAATCGATCGTCTTTTTGATTGTGCCCAGGTCCATCGGTTTTGCGATAACTTGGGTGTAATCTTCCAAACCCTTCGCGGCCATATCGACTGGGGCGTTGAAAGGGGCAGAGTTGTTCTGCATATACAGTGTTTGCCGAACAATCTCACAACCAACCAAAGGCTCTACGTGCCCAATGGATGGATCAATTCCTAGATCCTTAGACATTAGCTGGCGAAGGATTTCCTGCCAGGTAACTGCGTTCAGCATGTCACCATATGCACGCTCGCACGTTCCGTAAGTTCGTTCGCAGTTCACAAACAGATCGGATACCTTAATGTTGCTCTCAACAACGAGATCGTCCACGAGTGACATAAAAGACTTTTCCGACAAGATGACGTGTAGAAATGCCATGAAAATCCGAGCCAGACCAACATGAGTTCCCTCATCCGAACGGGTCGTGATACATTCCGCAAGAGCTTCCAGTGAGATCGACTCAAGCCCGACAAAACTCTTGAATGTGCAAATCGTTTGCCACGCCATTATAAGCTCACCGAGCAATGGACCTTTGACACCCTTCAAACTTGAGCAGCTTAAAGGCAGACAGTTTGTGTTCACCGCCTCCCCTTCGAGGAGCTGCAAATCTTCCACAGGGTACTTGTGCTCTTGCTCTTTCTGCCTTCGCTCTTCGTCGCGTTCGTCTTTCAAACGCTGTCGCACATCCTCGTCCCGCTGCTTCTTCTCGAGACGCTCATTCTCTCGTTTAACGCGACGAGCTTCCCGCTCAGCCATTTCCTTTTGGTGTCGTGCCACACGTAACGTGTAATTCTCGTGAAGACGATGCAGTTGCTTAAAAAACATTGACTCCAAGTATACCTCTTTATCCGAGAACAGGTTAGAAACTTGAGCCCGGATAAAAGGGTAGTTCTTGACAAGAAACCAGGCTGACTAAAAGGCACAATAATAACATGCATGTTACAGAATAAGTACACGGCACATGTCAGCAGCTTACATCAGAGCAAAGCAAACCGTACCACACGATATCTTCCTTTCAAAGACACTTCAATTATTTGTTGCAGCGTGGCTCGATAAGAAACCTTTTTGTTGATCGGCAACCACTCCTTGAGAACATACGCCACGAGATAGCTGGCCTCGAACAGGCGACGAACGTGCTTGAAAGTATGTCGATATGATGCGTGTGGCAACAAACCTGATAAAGGCCCTGCGATCTTGTACCAGGCATGAGGAGTCACAACCCACAACGTGGGGTCACCCTCTGCATAATCGAGACACCAGTCCGTGATTTCGGGGAGCCAAACACGAGCGCGTGCATACTCGGGTGGGTGACGAAAACCGCACTCCATCAAGTTGAGCTCGTCAGGAGTACCGTTGGCATCCAATTCTACAGCTTGGTCAGTTCGCATCAGTTCGACGACATCGTGAGGTAGACCAGCATTTCTAGAATCCACTCTAGCACTTGGTCGCCGCTGTACTTGGCCAACTGGTCGCAATCCAGAATCCTCAGAGTTTGGAGGAAAAGGTTTACAAATCACAGCATCATTACCGGGGCGCCGACTTGCTCTTGCCATTCCAGCTCCATCACCTGCATCACTCTCCCCCGAAGATCTCATGTCGTCATCACTTTCACTTCCACTTGAGCTATTAGTCGCGGAGAATTGGAGCTCGCTACCATTGTCTGAACCTCTACCAGCTGCACTGCGCCCGAGACGAATAGTTTCGTCGTCCGAGGTCATGTCACTGCTTTCACTACGAGAACCAGAATGACCATCTACTTGAGGAAGCCGACTTAGCCAGAACGGTTCGAGGACATGATACACATGCGACTGATGAAAAATGCCACACTCGCCTGTACTAGATGTTTCGATCTTGCCTTCTTCAAATTCACCGTCGCCTTGATACATACTTTCGGTATCCAACTTCGCGCGTTTACTTTCCACTGCCAAAACAATACCGCGTAAGAACACAACAATATGACTGAGAAAGGCGGTGCTTAGCAGTTACCTCTGGGCCTTGCTCGTGACTTCGAAGCTGGGGACTTTGCAGGTGTCGACACGGCAGAATCTGCCCGAGAACGTTTCTTAGAACGTGAGGGAAAAGCTGGAGATGCGAGAATGGGCTTGTTCGGGAAAGGTCGTTCCGCCAGGGGTACATGCTCTACGACTGTACCGAATCCCATGATCTTTGGACGCCGGTCGCTCGGACGATCGAGAATCTCGAGACTGATTGCTTTGCTGTGATCATAATATGTACAAACGAACGGTGAGGCTCACTGTGTCAAAAACAAAAACGATGCTGACAGTCGTACCCATTTTCGTCACAAAAGAAGAACATGTCCAAAAGACGCAATGTATCGCCTTCCTGTGCGCACGGGTCATTGAAATGGGCCGGAATGTTCAACTCACTCGTTTCTTCGAGACCGTTTCCAATGTGGATTGGGTCCACGAGTGATAATTCCCGTGCGCCCCTAATTTCGCCTGCAGGCACAGTAGGGCCTGTCGGAATCAACTTCGATGACAACCGTGCGCCATCTGAAGCCGCTAATTCCACAAGCGGCGTCCCATTTACTTTTTCAGCGAGTACTACATCACGTCCAGCAGTAGCACCAGACTGCACACGACTCGAACGCTGAGAGACTGAGCCGACAGCAGGTGATGCTTTCCTACTCGCGCTTGTTGGTACTTTCGCTCTTCTAGGTAAATTCGTTCCCTGCGCATCACCATGGGGTATTCGACTATCAACAGGCATCAAAGTACCACTAGTCTTTGCACGAAACCCCGGTGGGAGTTTCAGTGTCACCTTCAACGACGCAGCACTAGCTCCCTGCGACGCGTTGTGTATCACTGGCGGTCTTCGAACAGGCGCCCTTGACAAGGACGACGTTGTCGTAGTACCAGTACTACGTCCAACCCCCATAGGAGGAGGCGGCGGAGGCGGAAGATCCGTCTCCGAGTGGTCCGACAAATCCGACGAGTCGGAGCTCGAACTGCCACTGACCGCGATATCACTGGACAAGTTTCCATCCGACGACACACAAGTCAGTGGCGGTGGCGGAGGCGGCGGCGGCGACGAACTCATCTGTACAAGTGCTCCCTCTCCTGTCGTCTCCCCCTCCTTCAGCTTTGCACGGCTCGCAGTCCGAGCTGGTTTCAAAGCAGCACGCTCCGCTTTACATTTCTTCGTCTTGATCTTCTTCTCTGTCTTCCCTCTCTTTCCGCCAGAAGCGCCTCGACCAGCTCCTTCTTTGCTCCCCGCGCTTGCTCCTTTGCCTGCACGTCTGTGAGAGCCCGTAGAGGGGCTCCCCGATGCCCGTGGACGGTCCGAGTCCGCAGCAGAGGAAGACGACGACAGCTCCGACGAGTTCGAGGACGACGACAAGAGCTCGTCCGAGTCCGAGTCCGACGAGAGACCCGACGAGCTGCTCAAGTCCATGTACTTGGCGCTCATTTCCACCGACATGAGGTCCGTGAGCGCCATCTCCTTTTCGTCCGTCTCGTGCTTCTTCGTGGGCGCCCGGGGGCTGCTCGGCGCTCGTGACGGGGACGGGCCTAACACACTCGAGGCGGCTGTGGGAGAACGTCTGGAGTGGCAAAGAAAAACTCGCTCTCCGCCTCTCCCTCCCCAAACAACTTACCGGAGGCCGGCCGCTGTGTGCGCCGCCACAAAATCCTCGACCAGAGTGATGGTCATGATCGGATTCGACAGGATTCACGGATTGCTCGGAACGGCGTGGCAAGCGTTTTGTAATTTGCCGAAACGTCAGGGCTGGCTGTGCCCGCCCGTCTCGGTCGGTCTGGAAAAACCCTGGATCGTATTTTATCTCGAGAGAATGGATTTTATCTACTACAGAGAATGTAAAGTACGATAGCGAACGCTGCTGCCTTTGCTTCCTTTCTATTTCTAAAACAACTACTCAGGTTGCGGCATTCATTTCTGGACAGTATTTCTCTTTCTAGCAAAAAAGAAACGCGAAACTGACTGAGCGCTGTACTGTGTTATGGCAGGCAGTACATTATCAATGGCTTGAATCACCTCAGTGCCGTCCGCAGCTACTCGGTGTCGATGTGGATGCCGAGGTTCTGTCGCTTTTCTCCTCTCGCGCGCGCTCTAGAATGTGCCGCTTGATGTCCAAGAACGAGTCGATGATCTCGTCCTGCACGAGCTACCGACAGCACAATAACTAGGTCAGTTCATTCCCACTCACAGATACCGACCAGCACTTGACCGTACTAGTGGGCAGCTGTGTAGAACCGACATGATGTAGTAGCCGAGGTTGCGCTGTCGCTTGTCCACAAAGTCGGCTGACAACGACGAGCCAATGTACTTCTTGCTAGGCAGGTACGGGAACATGGGCGCACGCGACGGGTACTTCTCTCGCAGCTGTTGACATCACCACAGCCATTGAGAACGTAAGTCTATGGTCGGTCGAAGACGTGGAGTCCGGCCAAAAATGACTACCAAGATGTCAATTGCACAGAATTCCCGGTAGCGACGCACGACGTCCCAGATCTGAAACATCCAAACAATAACTTCAGTCACATAAAACTGTACTGAACTAAGCTGCAAAGCGTCGCTGTGTTTCACACCTCTGGGGTTTGATTGCTTTCAATCCACGAGCAGCGCAGAATGTATTCCTAAAAGCACAACCGACGCGTTGGTCAGGGCTACAGAGCCAGAGCTCGTGAACGCTGAACCAACCGTGTAAAACTTGCCGCAGTCCAAGTCCAGCGACTCCTGGCTGCCTAGCACTTCCACGCGGAAGTCACCTTGCAAGCCAGCGCCACTGCTCGGTCGCTGCTGCTGAAGCTGAGGCGACGACATTTCTCGCAGCTTTTGAAAAGTATGATAAGTGCGTGTTGTCGATTGAGGTGCAGACTACGATACGTCATATGTTGAAAACTGCATGTCTACATTTCTGAATGACAGAAAGACGAGCGAACGTCAACACTGACGCAGCAAGTGCGAGCGAGTGCCATCGTGGCAGTTATCGCTTCGATGACGTCCAGAATCGGTCGACACGTTAGTGACACGTAGCGTCATCTCAGTAGTAGCCGCGTATCAAGACTCTGCGACGATGGCTACCACTATACGCCCAATCGTGTAGCGTAGGTTCCAACCTAATAACGGCTTCTAGAGCTTTGTAGTCGACGACACAGATGTGGAAGCCACTCAGCAAGGCCTGAGCAATGCCGTTTGGGGCCACCTTTGATGATTGCAGCCGAGATGAACTGCCGCTCCAAGCTCGCTCAGGTGCTTGATGCAATGTCCATATTAAAGCTGTGGATTCTATGGCTTGAACACGAACACCAAGATCAAGTCGCCAAAGCTTTGCTTTGCAAAAGCTGTCGCACTGACGACGGCTTACAATCGTCGACGAAAAAAAGACGAGGGCGACGAGAGGGTGAAGAACTGCCTACTCCTTTTGATCAAGTCGTCCGTAGCACGCACGAATACGCGGTGCATTGCTTCACTGTGGACCCAACTTTGCTGCTTACAGCATTATACCTCGTCTTGATGCCCCGACCTATCCACCATGTATCGCACAAAGCGCCATTTCTCGGCTTGCTCGTTACAATCGCCTTTTCGTCTCGATTTACGACCACCGAGGAGACGATGCTTCGTACCGGCTCGTGCGTAATCCTTTTTAAAGCCCATGGCGGACGCGTTTTCTCGGTCAACGTCCGCTAGCTTTTGCCACACGCTTTTGTTGCTACTCTTTGCTGCATAGCTGCCTTCGAGTACAAACAAGCACGGACCGTCGTAATGTTCATGTGTGCATTGTAAGACTCGTGGAGGGTTGTAGGCATCCCTGACACGGTAGAATCGACCACTTGTGGGAAAAGCAGCATGATGCACAACAATAGCGTTGTGGACCCGTCAATGCATGTTCCATCGCGTGAACAGCAGGTCTTGTCTCATCTACGGCATACTCTCAGTACCACGACATGAGCCTGTCAAAGTGCGTCCGTGATCCATGTCCTCAATCTTCGTGATACTGAAACTACGAATGGCTCACAAACTGTCAGACGTTACTTGCTCAGAAGCTTCTTTGCGTAATCCTGCGAACCAAAACGAAGACATGTTTTGCAGCGGCCAAGAGCGGGCGGTCTGATGCCAGAGGGCCTTCACTTCAGACCATGGACACATTTTCGCACTCCCGCCAATGTGCTGCAACTCGCTGCGATATCTACAGGCGCTTCAGCTTCTAGGATGGCCACCGATAATGTGTCGGTTGACGAAACATTTACAGTGCCCCTGGACCGGTGTCCGAAGGCGTAAGGAACAACAGTATCGTGGTGCCGATTATATCCACACAGAATGACTACCTACCACGCGAACCTGAGGAACGTCCATTTTATAGGGTGTCAAACGCCGCATCTCAGGCTCGTTACAACGCTCGACGCCTCCACATGTTTCCGTCGCTCACAGTCTTATGAATTTGGTCAGTCAAGAGAACACGCTTCTGAACGGATACGCACAATGCTGACACGATTTACGGCGGAAACGAAAGTCTAGCGTGATCCTGCAAGTCTTCTATGACATCGATGCTCTGTACTCCTCTGTATATCGACAGAGGAGTACCGAGCATCGATGTCATAGTGACTCGCTGCATGACAACGATTTCAGGCTGAAGCCGAAGCTCAGGTCGCTCGCGTGTAGTAAACACTCGTGTACGGTGCACTTGCTTAGATGCAAAGCAACTGAAAGCATTTCATGGTTTTGGGCTGTTGCTGATAAGGCTTTCGAACATGTATGGTCTGCATTTCCACAAACAAAGCAATCGGTCCAGAATCGTTACGAGATTCACACCAGGGTGGAATCACGTACAAGCACGCTTGCTACATTCTTGGCCTTACGAACGGAACGCTCGAGAATCCACGACTTCTCGCTGGTTCTCGCAGCGCTTCTTGTGCAGAGGAGGCTTGCGAAGACCGAATTGCTTCGACGCCTCGCCCCCCTAGTCCAAAGCATACGATGGACCGATCCACAAATTTTTGTTTTGCGTGGAACTACTAGACCTGATACCTCCATTACGTCATCGTTTGTAAGCGCAATCAAAACCATTAGCAATACGCAAGTTCTTGGCCGGATGGCTGCCCTTGTGATCCTTCTTTCGGTACTTTTGCGTTGCGCATCAACCGTGTACGAGAATGAACCCGGCACACGAATCAACAGCCATCGCGTACAGACAACAAGATTTGCCACATGAAGCAGGTCTTTCCTGCCATCCTTTTTGATGTCGAGCACTTTTCCTTTCGTTTACTGCGAAACAGACTCCCATACAAAAGCGCAGTAGAGAAGCTATCCAGAGACCAGCCGGCTTCCAAACTGGACTCTAGCAATCCTCTGCGCAGATGCCACGCGTTTCCTCGCATCCTCGTTCTCAAATGGACGCTGCTTCCAATCATGCAGCCCTTTTGCTCGTCCGTGCCTTCCTCTGTTCCGACTTTATAGTCACGAATGGCACGTCTCTCTCTTCCGAATCTACCATGTCTAAAGCAGCAAAACGAGCGTTGTTAGAACACAGATCTGTTCGTGTAAACGTAAATGCACACCTACATCTGCCTACATGTCTATCTTATTGAGGACACAACGCAACACCTGATCGATCGGAAAAAAAAAACACATTGCGCAAGCAACGGAAACCGACCGCATCGACTTGGCGGCACTGAACTCGCGACAAAAAAAGGCGTCCACAAAAAACGCTTTTCCCGCCGTGTCGACAGTTTAAAAAAAACACCCGCAGTTGTCGTTGTCGTCGCCGTCGCCCTATTGGTGCCGAGCCCATCACATCGCGCTGCTCCTCGTGCAACTTAAGCACGGACTGCCCGATCTCTCCTACCCTCCTCGCGTGTCTCTCCACAGGGCTAGGGGACGCCATCAGCCAGCCAGTAGCAAGAGCTGCCCGGTCATATTCCTTCCGGCTTCTCCCTACCTACCCACTGACGGACGGACGGACGGACGGACGAGATGCACGTCGAGTTTGCCGTGCCCTCCCCATCCGACAGCTCGACCGACTACTACCAGCTGGACATGGCCAGCGGCCCGCCGCCCTCATGCGCCGCGGGCAACGACCAGCAGCCGCTGCAGACGGGGGCATCTTCGCACGCCCATCGGAGTGCGCGTCGGAACAACACGTTCAATGGCGCGTCGAACGAAGAAGAGCAGCGCAACATCATCTCGCTGCGGTATCGGGCCGATAGGTACGCACGTACCTTACATGGGCTGCTTGGTTGTGTGTCGGAGGGGGGTATGTGTGATGGTGTGTAAAAAAGCACTTTTTGACGAAACACTTGTTTGACCTGTGTTTTTGTAAAACGTGGTGTGTTGCTTTTGACGTTGACAGTATGGCTGACTCGGTAGCGTCTGATACGAAATCGAACGCTGAAGCCAAGCTGTGGAACCTCTTTGAGCAAGTGTTTTGCTTCCTCAAGGGCATGACCATCTACCAGACGCGACGACGTCTCAAGTTTACGATCGTGTCGCAGACCGTCATCAACTCGCTGCGTATTTTTCCCATTATTTTGGGGCTCAGTTTTCAAGCCACGGTCCCCGTGCTCATCCTGTACATCACGCTCGTGCTGGGCTGGCACGGCACGAAGTTCCTCGTGCCCAAGTTTTTGCTCAGCTACAAGGTTGGCATGCAGCTCACGCTGCTTGTGGATGTCATATGGTACTTTAAGGGCTACAACGGCAGGCTCAATAGTGTCAGCAGTGGTACTTCTGTGCTCATGCAGGGGTTCTTCTCCATTCTGCTTACGATGCTTAATATCATGGGCTTCTTGTATGGCTGGAAGCTACGGCGGATTGTCAAGGCGGTGCAGAACCAGCGGGAATGTGACCGCGCAGCTCTCGCTACGATGATGCCGTCCCCGCAACAAACCACTTCGGTGCACCGGACGCTGTCTATTAACCAATCGGCTGGGGAGTTGGACAAGGACGCAGGACCGACAATGCGTCGGAAGTTTATTGTGGGACCGGGTGTTGCGAAGAAGAGGCTACGACGCAATCAGGCGGGTACCTCGTCGACGCTGCCTGGTGTTTTGAGAACCAATACGCAGCAGAGAAAGGAGGCGGAGGCCCAAGAAGAAGCACCTGTCTTTTGCTCAAACGTCATTGTTACGAGCAAGTACACGTACTACAACTTCCTGTTCGTTTTCCTCAAGATGCAGTTCAGCCGACTGGCGAATCTGTACACAACTATCGTGGTGGCGTTGTGTTTCTTCGACTTTTCCCCAGTGAGCCCCGTGGCTAGTTTGACGCCACTGTTGATCGTATTCGCGACGTCTGCACTCAAGGACGTGAGCGAGGACCTTCGTCGCCAGAAAGGGGATGCTACAGTTAATTCACGATTGGCGCATATCGTTCGTCGCGATGTGGCAGATGAGGTGATCCATATGGATGGCACTTGGCAAGATATTGAGGTTGGTGACATTTTGGTAATAAAAGACGGCGACCAGGTCCCTGCAGACTGTATCCTGTTGGCGACAAGTCGGCCTGATGGCCGGTGTTATGTGGAAACGGCCAACTTGGATGGTGAAACCAACTTGAAGATTCGCCAGGTGGCTAGCTGCACAAAGCACTTTTGTAGCGTTGAAGAGATTTTGGAGCACCACAAACTTGAGGTGGAATGTGATATGCCCAACAAGGATTTGTTTTACTTTGACGGTGTGCTGAAGCTCGAAAAAATTGCGCGCGGGACTGTCGCGGACTTGAAGGAGGACTTAGAAACCAGTTTGACGATGGGCAACTTGATTTTACGTGGCAGTGAAAGCCGCAACGCTGAGTGGACGCTTGGACTTGTGATTTACACGGGCAAAGAGACGAAGGTCCAGATGAATTCGGTTGCTGTGCCCCTAAAGCGTAGTTTCGTGGAGAAGACCTTGGACACAATGTTCGTGCTGGTTCTGATGCTACTTTTCGGAATATCGATTGCGTGTACGCTAGGAAATAATAACTGGAATCTGGACCTGGCCGACGATTCGACACCGTGGTACATCCAGGAGGAAACAAATGGCTACATCTTTTTGAGCTACGTGATCCTGTTTAACAATTTGATTCCGCTGTCTATGTACGTGACGATGGAAGGTGTGCGTTTTGTTCACGCACGGTACATCGAAAATGACGTGGAAATGTACGACATCAAGACCGATACACCAGCTCAGGTTCGCAACAGCAATATTAACGAAGATCTTGGACAGATCCAGTACATTTTCTCCGACAAAACGGGTACGCTTACTTGCAACGAAATGATTTTTGCGAAGTGTACCATTGCTGGATTGCGCTACAATGACGCTGAGTTTGACCCTACAAAACAAGCAAGACCTGGCACTAAGTTTGACGACGGCCGATTGCTGGCGCGTTTGGGGTCGAACCATTCTACTAAGCAGGAAATCCACGATTTTCTTTTATTGCTGACAATTTGTAACACGGTGATTCCAGAGTCGAATGTTCCAACGTCACCTACGTCTGACGGCGATTCGTGCTCGGCCCAGACTCCAAGGATAAAATACAACGCGTCTTCTCCGGATGAAGAGGCGCTCGTGCTGGCTGCTGCAGACCTCGGTTACGTACTTACTTCACGTGACGGTCCAATGTGCCATGCTGTCATCCGGGGCACACCGATGTCCTTCGAAATTCTGAATGTGCTGGAGTTCAACAGCGATCGAAAACGCATGTCGGTAATTGTGCGGTTTCCTGATGGAAGCATCGTGCTTTACTGCAAGGGTGCTGATGATATAATATTTGATCTGCTGTCGAAGTCGCAGCCACAAGGTGTTGCGCACGTGACGCGTGGTCATCTCCAAGAGTATGCATCGGAAGGTCTTCGGACGCTGACGACCGCTGTGCGGCGCCTTACGCACGAGGAATATGAACACTGGAATCAGCTATACCGCCAGGCAGAATTCTCGATGGAGGGACGTGCTGGTAAGATTGCCAAGGTCTCAGCTATTATTGAGGTTGAGCTGACGTTGCTCGGTGCGACGGCTATCGAAGATCGACTGCAGGACGGTGTGGAGGAGTCGATCTGTGCACTGCGCAAAGCGGGCATTAAGTTTTGGGTGCTCACAGGCGACAAAAAGGAAACTGCGCTGAGTATTGGCATGTCATCCCATGTGATTGACGATAACATGGACGTTATCGTACTGGGCCAGCGTGACAAGGGGTCTTTACGTGCGAGGTTGGAGGAGTTGTACGTAGATCTTGTTGAGGACAAGTGGGGTTCTGACGAGACTTCGTCGGCCGTTAGTGTGCTTTGGGAAGCCTTAAAGCGAGCAATTTTCTACTTGTGGGATCTTGCGAAGCTGGCTCTACTAGGACGCAATGAAGAAGGAGAGGCCCGAAAGAAGCGAAGACGGCTACCGCGCCGGGACCAGTCTGGTGCAAATACGGCACCGGTCGGTAGTCCTTTCCAACACGAAGATGTGTATCCGGCACTTCCGAAACGTGACGTGTCTGAAAACAGCCTCGACCGAGATTTGTGCGACCATGACTTCGAGCCAAAAACAGACGCAGTTACCGGCGACACTGGAAGCATGAGTAGCAGCAATTATGCGGATGAGGAGCTGGAATTTGCAATGGTGATTGACGGCAAAACGCTCGCGCTGGTGCTAGATGATGACATCAAGTACCTTTTCTTGGCAGTAGCAACGCAATGCAAATCGGTGATATGCTGTCGCTGCTCACCCGCTCAAAAAGCATCGGTCGTGAAGCTTGTTACGGAGCCTACTCTCATGTTCTCTCCCGGCAATATCACGCTCGCTATCGGCGATGGTGCCAATGATGTACCGATGATTCAGGCCGCGAATGTGGGTGTTGGTATCAGTGGGAAAGAGGGTCGCCAAGCTGTGCTTTCCAGTGATTACTCCATCGCCGAGTTTCGATATTTGAAACGTCTCCTCTTGGTTCACGGCAACTACAGCTACAAGAGGATTTCCAAGCTCATTTTGTTCTCGTTCATGAAGAACGTAGCACTGTCTTTGTCCAACTTCTTCTTGGCGATGGAGACAATGTACAGTGGTTTGCTAATGTATTTCAGCATCTTTTTTACGCTGTACAATGCGCTCTTTACGACGATTCCAATCGTGGTTATCGCCATGTATAATCAGGATGTGTCTCCTGCCGTGCTGATGCAGTACCCGACGTTGTACGTGAACGGTTTGAAAAACCGGTCGTTTAACTGGCTGTCCTTTTTCGGCTGGTGCGGCCTTGGCGCGTGGCATGCTTACGTCGTGTATGCGGTACCGTTCTTTGCGAATGGCTCCGTCGTCTGGTACTTTTCGAGCGAATCCTCTAAGATCCAGTTTGACAGGCGTGATTTAGGTCTCTGGGCGAACGGTGTCGCATCGTACACGTACTTGATCACAGCCTCAACGGTGCAAGTGTCGTTGATGACTAGTAACTGGACACGGATGAACGCCATTTCAACCGTTGGCACTCTGGTGTTCTATTACTTGTTCACCGCATTCTTTTGTGCCGTGTTTGGATGGACTTCGACCGAGTTTTACGACACAGAGGTTGGCTACGGTGTCGTAGGCCAACTTGTTCGCGAATGGTGGTTTTGGCTTGGCCTCCTGCTTACTGTAGTGGTTGCTGTCTTACCGAATTACATTGCTAAGGCTGGACGGGTGTTGTTTTACCCAGAGCCATCTCATCTCATGCGCGAGTGGAACCGCCTGGCTAAGGGCGAAGACGCTGCAATCGTGGCGAACTCACCGAGACTGGTACGCCACAACACGGGCTTTGCTTTTTCGCACTGTCCCGGTGAGGCGGACATGGCGCTGGCTGTTCACGGAGACAGCAGTACGAGAGACCAGTACCGAGCAGGGCTTTCGACGGATCTTCCGGTGACTGGCGCGCGTGCGCTGTCGCTGTCCTCATCCACAGCAGACGGTTCTTCGCCACGCTCCCCCAAAGCATTGTACTAGGCTTCGAATGATTCAGTCGACAAGAGGTTGTGAGCCGCAGGCATTGCATAGAGAACTGGGCTGACTTACCGCCACAAGTCGCTAATAGCGCATGTACCATATCAATCATGTTTTCTTCTGCTCAAGATGGTTTGATCGGGTGCATTCTTTTTCGAGCAGTGAGTTGAGCAAATCTTTGCAACGCATGTAATGATGTCGCAGATAGCTGCGAATCGGACAAATTTGCTGATGGCAACGCACTCAGTCGAGAGGAAGTGATGGCAACGCACCAAAACAGGGACCCACCTATGATTTGGATCACCTGGAAGCCGCGGACATGGGTCGCTTTGTCGACAAAATTCTTTCGCTTTCAATGCGATTGACAGCTCGCGCGTTAGTAGACGCGAGGCAGTGGAACGTAATAGTGCGTGACAACCACAGCGATAAGTTGTCCTAGAGTGACCCCAGGCATGCAGCATGTTGTTTGTGTGATTATGGCATCATGAACGATCGGCTCATCGCTTGTCGAGGTATATTCGGAAATGCCCTTTTCCATGCGAGTTGATACCCTGTGAGTACTGTGTTTCAAGACTGGCATGTTTTCAAACAACATGTCATCTACATTCTCACGGGTGCGTTGAACTTCGGTGAAGGCAAAACGTGTCAAAGCTTTGAAGTGTGAAGTGGACACGGGAAAGCATGAGTAGGTCTCAGTTGATGTGTTTCGTTCATATTCGCCATAAATAGTGGTGACACTCGTGAACAGCACAACGCTACAAGCTCAATGTGTATGTTTCTTCAATGGAAACATTCGCACGCATGCCATGACAGTGTTGATGACTCCCAGTGGCTTCCGGTTTTGGTTGTCGAACGTGAAGTCGCATTGGCTGTGCTAAGGGAAGTCGCTACGCTTGTATACCTTTAGAACAGGCGATCGACTAATTGCAGCTGGCTCACTGGCAGGCAACAATGAAGTCCCTCCAATTCCACTAAAGAGCGCATGTGCAGACGCAACAGGAAATGTTGTATACTCTGCGCGCGAAGTTGAAGTGGTGCGGATTCGCTTGGATTTGCGTATGCACTGACTGATCGGCGTCGCTTACATTTTGAGATGCATGTGTTTCGCGTCGCCTTTGCAGAGCTTGCCATTGGTGTGCGCGATAATTGCAGTGCCTGAAACGAATGTGTGCGACATCGTGTCGTCATGACAATCGGATATCGGAGACCCGAATTGGCAACGGTACCGCCAACTGTGGAGCGTTCTGTGTTGCCGAATCGTATAGTAGCACAGCACAAGTCGGCAAGATAAATCGATTGAAGGAACTCGGCAAAATGACTTTGTAACTTCGGGATAAAAAGTTATTAATTTTTTTTTATTAGGTGTCACAAAATAGGGGGTTGCGCCACCGCGAGATCGGACAGTTATTTTACCTTGATTATTTCTACCATTTGATCTTTAAAAACCTTTAGCTAAAGGTTTAATTTTAAAAATACGAGTTAAATTATGTTTTTTTACACATGCCAATATGCCTACTCTGAGCTCCTTACTACCACAACAACTGCTGCAAACATCTATGAACACAACGCGGCAGACGCTTTTTATTGAAGGATCGTTAGTCAAAGACACAGAACCTACCACACGAAATGATTTGGAAAATGTTACAAGGCCTCGCCAGTCTCTTTACAAAACAAATTGTTGCATTACGAGCCGGGAGAGAACGTTTGTATCTCGTTGTCAAAAAAGAGTTTTCGCATCTTTGCGGCCATCTTCTTCAGTTCCAGATGGTCGTCCATCGCCTGTTAAAAATAAAATGAATGGAACTGTCTGGCGGTATTGTCGCCACTACTCTTCCGTTCGCTCCGTCGCGCCAGTAGCAGCCCAGACGCCTGATTAGCGGTACTCTCCTTCACACCTTTTAACTTGTTGTACCCATGAACGTAATTGAGCCACCGCGTTAGTCCAAGATACGTAAGAGCGTCAACATCGTCGTACACCGTTTTGGGGTCCTCCTTCTCAGCCAGCCAAAACAGCATTTCTTGTTCATATTCCGTACGCCACACGTTATTGACTCCATCAAAAGCGCCCATGCCAAAGACATTCGGAAACGCTGCTCCACCCATGTTGGTGCAGTGGGTAGTGTTTTGTAGAGAACTCCTTAGTATTCTTCTCCTCTAGCTTCTTCGAGATACGAGTATGAACGGCAACAGAGACGTGGCTACGGGAACGCCGCAATAAACCGGAGCAAGCAGTTACCCATACAGCCACTACATATTCCTGGAGGCAATAGTACAGCTAGGCGCAATCAACATGAACGGCCAGCAGTACCAGCCTGTCGTGGGCTTTGCATCTCGTTTGTGACTGGAATGGCCCCGTCATTGCGATGGAAGCATTGCACAAGAGTCGACTGGCTTCAGTGAAATTCAGATATTGTCTTGGGCTCATTTGTAATGGGATGACACACCCAATCATCAAATTCCGTCTGGAGCTTTCTACCTGTAAAGGTCGATGAAATCTCAAAATGCAGTGCGTGTTCAATGAAACTAAACCAATGCAAGCGGTGCGAACTACGTTTTCTTCAGCGTCACAGTGACTTCTGACGCTTTGAACCAAGTCGTACGTATCCACGCTTTATTCTGTCCATATCTAGGAGGCACAGACGGTCTACATGAGCATCAATATCGACTTGTTCGCACAATTTGTACTACTAGAGCTACAGTATGCAGCTGATTCCGCCGACACTGGAACACCCCTTACTTTCTGACCTAATGCATCGACGATATACACATCCGATCTCGGTCTTTGCGTTGATTCATTGCTGAGTTGCTAGCATAAACTAAGAGGTACATTATGACTCGGAAATCTCCCATTCGTGACAACTCCGGCCAATCTTTTGTAAAGTAAGGCGCAGAGCCGGAAGCGAATTCCAGTGAGCTCGCCATTTAGATACGTCTGGCCAGTTCAAATCCCGATTAGTCCCATTTACTACCCGACTACGGCCCATGGGATTTCATTACCGGGGCCGATCGAAATTGCACTTTTGCTCAGAATGTTCTCTCTGATGAAACTGCGTCGACGCTTTCAATACGCAGACCAGTTCATCATCAGAAATGAGACATAAGCGGGAGGGTGCTGAACTATCGTCATTTTAACCAGAGAGAGGGTCTGTAAAAATGGAACGTGAATGGGTTCTCATTTCTTTTAACTAGCGTCACCCCGATACTTATTCCCACCTGTTGGAAGCCGTCATACATTAACGCACCAAGTAGCTGCTGAAATGGGAGAGAGGCTCAGACTGTCTATTACAGCTACTAATCACTACAAGATGTCTGGTTGTGCGGTAATCACCCCCTGTCATCTACCATGATACAGTCTTACTACTCCTAGCTTTCTCACTCTGCTGGCTCAAGGCGCCGGACGTCACGACAGGGCACTCCCAAAAGGGCCCGTGGAAACCGTCCATTGACCAAGTTCGGGTTTGGATTCTTTTGTGTGCACTCTACCGGATGGCGGGCTGCTCTCGCACTCGGAACAATTTGGTTCAGGGGACAGAGAACGCTTGACTAGGAGTCCTGTTACCATTGTGGTAGTCCCAGCGAGCAATCTTGACGTTATCCCTGGCCATTACGATAAACCTCTTTTGGTGAGATGGTCACCAAAAGTCAATTCTTAAAAAACTGGTGACGATATATAACAATTGTGCGTTGTACACGACGACTGTCTTACCCTCTACCTAAAAGAATGACCCAGCCGAATAAAATGAGCCTAGCCGTTTATTATTTGCTTATTCCCGATGCACATGCCGCTCATTCGCGGATTTCCCGGAGCGCGTCTATAAAGCCAAGGGAATCGCAATAGAGTTAGGTCTATCGCATGTCCCGACGATTCGAAATGCGGCACTATGTAGCACATTTCGTGGCAGGTCGCAGCGTTATGCTTCAATAAATTCGGTCTCACGACAAGAACTGACGGAGTACTATGCATGATGGGTCTGATATCGAGTGGCCTACAATGGGGGCAAGCAGTAGGTCAAATTAAGTAAGGCGCGTACATGTTGCTGCCCACCATGTTGGTAGCCTCTTCTTGGGTGAACACTAGTCGTCATGATGTATGGGCTCAATCTATTTGCCAGAGCAAGCACTTTCGGAGCGATCCTCACTCATGCAGACACCACTAATTTGCTCTCCGGCGTCACTAGCTCAATTGAAGCAGACGAATGTTTTCTTTCTGTCTACTAACTTGGTAAATCCTGGAAGTGTGCGCAATTGGAAGTAGCATTACTTCGAATACTAGACGTATGTAGAGCGCTAGAAGACCACGAATGGTAGATGTGCAGTCCTGTGCACGTTGTGCATGGTGACCCTACCTTACGCTTCTACTAGCGCGCACATTCGCGGTATAAAATTAGTACCAGCAGCGATGGCGCAACTTTTACATCGCATTATTTCCATGGCATACGAAGAAAGGAGTTCATTCCTTTATGACAAAAGTCCATTCCTGCGTTGAGCACCGACGAGAACTGGAAAGAAAAGCGTGAGATACTATGGGAGAAGAAAGACGAGGTACGACTAGTTGCATGAATAGCTGTGAAGTGCTGTTTTAGGTGCTAAACGCAAAGGTGAAAAGGTTCGCGCGTCAGTGCTCAGTCAATCGCCAAAACCGAACAGCACCTTTTTGTTCCTGGCTCTTATTCACGCGTGCTGGCCTGCTGTTGCACACACAAACCCGATGTTGACGTAGGTCAGCAGGAATGTAGGCTATGTGGCGCATTGCTAGTGATATCATTGCAAATGTGAATGTGTCGAATCAGGTTGTAGCAGAGATGCACGCGGAGTGGTGGACATGTTTGATTAAAGGACATCGCAAACACAATACACACATATTGACATCAAGAAGGTCCGTATAAAAGTACTGACGTTGCAAAGTCGTACTGGTCTGATTTGATTACATCCAATATCAAATTTGAAGGCTTTGGGTCGATTTAGAGTGCGAGCCCTGGACATAATGGCATCCTGGAAAAGCTGGTGTTGTGTCGCAAGATCAATTCTCGATTCGATCAGCAAGCTTTCAGATTAAATCGAGCCTATAGAGATGTCCTAACTGCCGTAACAACAACCCCCAAAAGACCTATCACCGTGATATTTACCCACTGTGTTGCCGCAACTAAGAGATACGCAGTTGCAGCAAATTGCCATGACGACGTCAAGGAGCAGCAAATGAACGTTGTATCTTCTTGCAGCATCTGAAGGTGTGTTGCCATTTGACGATGGAGCAATGTGTACAGTGTTCCCTCTGATACGGATGCTCCGATTTATGTACACCCTACAATCAAGCCCCGACCGAGAGCATTCCGTTTCACAGAAAAGACTGCAGTACACTTCGAATGAATCCATGGGATAAGACAAGATGCAAAGCTTGGGTTGCTATCCAAGATACGAGAGCAAGCTCTGGAGCTTGTCCTTTCACATAAGTAATCCAGTTCATAGAACTGAATCAAGTTGCAAAGCACTATACAACAGTAGCAGTCACTGAAGAAAGGAGCGTGATGCTGTTGATGTCTAAATTAACCCAGAAGAGTACGTACACATGCAACGCGATCAGCCCTGCTTATGAGCGTCCAGTGTTTGCTCACATGATGATGTTCACCTTTGGTCGATTTTAAGCCTATCACGTGCGTGCTTCATAAAAGTGACCGAGCCAAAGCGTGACTTCGAACGTATTTTCTATACTTACGGGGGGGGGACAGGCTAGATCGCACTTAGTTCGTGTAAGCCACACCTACCGCGTTATTTACAGAGAGACACAGACACGCACAGTGAGATAGACAGACAGACTGACCGACGGACGGACGGACGGACAGACACACAGATAAGTACGATTTAAAAGCTCGGTATTCCACCCTGCGCACACTCACTGATACTGCTTCTGGTCAATGTGCATTTCGATCGTTCGTCGAGCCGTCGTACATTACTGCAATGCACAGAACGTTCGGTCTCTGCTTCTTTTGCAATGGCAAAAGACAGCGACGGTATGCTGGGCGCGTACCTGATTGCACGCATAGCCCCATGACCCTTGCAAGAGAACGGGAAAGACTCACAATGGGCTGTGTAAGAGAGGTACATCACCACGCAGAAGTAATCCAGCACACATCGTAAAACTTCGTTTTAGCCCGCATACTCGCGGCTTATACGCACTATATTAGCTATTTATTCAGTGCCACGGGCCTTCTGCACACCGATTACATAATGTATACGCGCAGCACTCGCGGCATTCCCATTCTCTCGGTGTTGAATACCGATCTCCGTCGCTCGCAACGGGGCTCTCGCTACCAGCATGTTGTATCCTAAGTTGAAGCATCCAACGAATCCACGGCTGACCCACGTATGTGTGAAGCCAGCATGCGGTTTACTGCGTTGACATAAGCTGTGGCCGAAGCGACCAGGATATCGGTGTTAGCACCGTGGCCGACAAATTGGCGTTGGCGCTCCACACCCGTCTGCGCATTCACGTGCTTCTCGTCTTCCGTCTTCTCCTGCTCCTTCTTGTCCTCCTGGACCCGCACAGTCACTTCGCCCAGAGCGTATGTGCCGTCTGTCACACTCTCAACAGAGAAGTCGTTCAGCTTGATGTTGTCCATGCCTGTTGCGCGCTTGATGGCGACGTAAACGGCGTCAATGGGCCCAGTACCCATAGCAGCCTCGCTCACTTCCTGGCCATCCTTGTACGCAAGGGTGACGGTGGCAGTGGGCTTCACAAGGTTACCAGCAGTGACGTGGACGGACTGGAGCGTCCAAAAGACCTCTGGCTTGAACAGCTCGTCCGAGACAATCGCTTCCATGTCGGCGTCCGTCACCGTCTTCTTCTCATCAGCCAGGATTTTAAACTTCTCCACATAGTAGTCAAGCTCTTCCGAGGTCAGATCGGTGTACCCAAGTTGCTGAAGCCGCTTGCTGTACGCGTGGCGTCCTGAATGCTTCCCCAGCACCATCTTGTTCTCGCTCAGCCCGACCGACTCGGGTAGCATGATCTCGTACGTCGCCTGGTGCTTCAGCACGCCATCCTGATGGATCCCCGACTCGTGCGCGAACGCGTTGGCCCCTACAATAGCCTTGTTCGGCTGGATGGACATGCCCGTGTAGTGACTCACCATGCGGCTACAGCGCGTGATCTGCGTCGAATCGACGCACGTGTACACAGGAAAGTGCTGCGGTCGCGTCTTCAGCACCATCACGAGCTCTTCCAGCGCCGTGTTGCCAGCGCGCTCGCCAATGCCATTGATCGTGACCTCCACCTGTCGCGCTCCGCCCTGCACCGCCGCCAGCGTGTTGGCCGTGGCCAGCCCCAAGTCATTGTGGCAATGGGCCGAGAACACGGCCGCGTTGCTGCCCTCGGTGTTCTCAATCAAGTAGCGGAAGAGCGAACCGTACTCGCCAGGTACCGTGTACCCCACGGTATCCGGAATGTTGACGGTCGTCGCGCCTGCTTTGATCACCTCGGCCAGGAACTCGCACAGAAAGTCGGGGTCGCTGCGGCCCGCGTCCTCGGTCGAGAACTCCACGTCCGGCGCCAAGCTCTTGGCAAACTTAATGGCCGCCACGGCCCGCCGAACGCACTCGTCGCGCGAGATCTTGAGCTTGTACTGGAGGTGGATGTCCGACGTGGCCAGGAACGTGTGGATCCGGTGCTTGGGCGCGTGCTTGACGGCGTCAAAGCAGCGCTGGATGTCCTTCTCCATGGCGCGCGCCAGGCCGCAGATGACCATGGGCTCGCCCGTCGCGCGGTTCGTCAGGAGCGGACCGATCTCTTGGGCGATGGCCGAGACTGCGTCAAAGTCGCCTGGGGACGAGATCGGGAAGCCCGCCTCGCACACGTCGACGCCCAGGACGCTCAAGCTGCGCGCAATGTCGAGCTTCTCCTTGAGGTTGAGCGTGGCGCCAGGCGACTGTTCGCCGTCGCGCAGCGTCGTGTCAAAGAGCAGAAGACGGTCCTTGCCGGCTTCGGGAGAGGCGGCGGCGGCGGCAGATGTGGAGAAGGCGCGGTGGACGTGGCGTCTGGCGGACGACGCCGAGCGCTGGACGAGCGTGTGGATCATCAGGAGGTGGGAAGTTAGAGAGTGAGGGGAAGAGGGATGCGCACAAGGACGAGAGTGATGGTCAATTGCGCAATGGCGTGCGGAGGGCAACGAGCGTGCGGAAAGGGAAATGAACAGCGAGGGAGTGAGGGCGCAGAGTTGCACCGGATCGGACGGGGCGTTTGCTCAAACATTGCTTGGCTGGCTGACACAGGGCGAAATCAAGTACTGATCTGGGAGATACTTTCGACCAATGGAAAGCGACGCTGGTCGACGTGTGCTGCTGCTGCTGCAGCATTTGGCTGGGTTTTGCATGAGGTGTGACGTTTTGCGACAAGGAAACAGACCCGTTGAATCCGATACGATACGTACTTAGGTAGAAGTCCCGGGGACGCGTGGAGACACTGTCCGTCCCGGTCGACTATCAATGGAAGGGAGTAGCACCACTGAGCGTTACCGAGACATTAACTTGGCTTCAACTCTTCGGTAGCAATAAAGACTTGCAGTTGTCTGGCTTGCACGAGAACTTCGTCATGTGTTCGTGCATGGCTAGTCGAATCCTGAAATTGGTCCGGTTTTTCACGTAGGTGTCGCGGCAATACCGCTTAGCGTACGTACAGTGATGGCATTAGCCGTGAGAGACATCATGTAAAATTCGATCACGAAGCAAACGACATCCTGGAGACGAGAAATAGACCGTAGTGCTCTGTAATCGGTAGTGAAAGTAAATGGTGTCAAGACGTAGGAGCAGACCGACACGATACCAAGCATCATGAAAGATGGCAGTACATTTTCCGTTTCAGGCACGTAGATGCTGACCAGGAGAGTCGCAATGTGTCGAAAAGTGGTGTCCTCGCACGTGCAGGGTGCAGCAATAAGTCCCCGAGACAGTAGCTTCGACAAGCAGCTTACTTTGCTGCGTGGCTGGTTCAGTAGTATGGTAGACAAAGGACAAGTGTCGCGTTAGTGCAATGCTACCAAAGATGCTTTCAATGCCTTCCGTAAATTCACGAAATACAAACATTTTGCCGATCTGGAATATTAAAATTAAAGAGCTCACTATGCGGCGACTATTCTGTTCAGTCCACTTATCTAGCGGACGAGCTCAATGGTTGCAGGTGACAGGCGGCTTACAAATATTTGATTAGTATGTACCAATGTTTATTGTGGCGATTAATGGAAGACGAGAGGTGTAGGCGATTTCAAGCTTCGTGTTTTATCGTCTTTCCAGAATGTGTATTGTTCCGGAAGCCGCGGCATAGTTTGCACCATCGCAACGCCTTTTTGGAACGAGATGATTTGTTTATGATTGCAGTGTTATCCGCAATATAGCACTGCCGATCAAGTGTATTACAAACGAGGAAAGAAGGACAGCGCAATCGAATACGACGATGAGACAGCTGGTCCAACTGGACTGAAATTGATATTGGATGAGCCCATTACCTAATCTTGACATTAGTTTAGTGACTAGTTACATTAACTTTCTCAATAATAAATTTCTGTTCCTTCTTCTTTCGTTAAGTATACACTGAATGCAGAATATTTGCATTGATCAATCATTATTTGTGAATTCTGTCAGATTTCGAGGGAGCTGTTAATCCCACTTCTGTTTCCTGGTAAGACTGCCTCAGTTTGATACTCTATCGGTTTTAACATGCTGCTCGTCCTTAAGGTTACTGCTATAGCCTGATTGGCCAATGTATCTCAAAACAAAGCTTGTTCTGCGATCTTTTAGCCGCTGTTAGTCGCGTATTATTCCCATACCCGTCGGTCGAATAAGATTAATCTAAAAATCCATCATCTACGAAAGTTTGACGCTGACGCCAAAACGTAGTGTTCAAGCCACCAATCGTCAAGTGTGAGGGATTAAACAACAGCTTGATAAAGGGCAAGCACCACTATTTGTGCTCTAATATACAACATCACTGGTAAAAAATCGTAATTGACGCTTCGGTTGGACGCATCTTTACTTTTAATCACCATACTAAAGATGCGTCATCAGCATTTCCCTTAATAATTAGTTTATATTTATATTTGAGAAATATTCAGATGTAACATTTTATAGAGTAGGCAGTTTAACTAGTAAAGAAGGCTTACTTTTTACCTTTTCAATTCATCTTGCCGCAACGGACAAACATTACAAAACGCGTTTAATTTTGGACAAGGACGATGAAAGAGGGAGTATAACGCAACATGACCAGCTAGTCTATAGGCATGCACAGAGGGAGCGATATCACTATTAGCTGTATTCTGATGTCAGTTTGTCATAATCCAATTCCGTTCGCGTTCGTTCATTGGTGATCTTTAGCGTAAGAGTTGACAAGACCAATTTTGAAACATCAGTTGAGTAGTAGTGTAGCTTTTTCGCTCACTGTTGCACGTAGGCCTCGGCAAGGTAAGGTAAGACACTCTTCGCTAACTAGTAAAACGGTGAAAATTGGTGTATAAGGGTAAAGGGCAAGCAAGGGGTAAGATGGCGAGTGGAGTAATGGTAACGACGATCTCATCACCCGTCTACGCGGTAATAACAGGTTCATGAAATGTAAAGGTCTGACATAAAAACTTCTGTGTAGCATTTTGCGCGTTTTGAGTTGCTCCATAGCCACGAAGTCCGAAACGGAGTGCGCCACGAATCCTTCTAATTTATGACCTCCAAGGGCACAGAAAGCAATTCTTCAAGCGCCAATAACAATTCTTCGCTCGAGACTGCATCCCAGTCTTTGTGCATTAATGGAGTATTCTAACGTCGGCAGCTGCGACAACGATGCCGACGCAGGTATCGTCCCTGTCTAGCAGTAGTAGCAGCACAGACGAAGCCGGAATAGCCTCCGTCTTAAAAACAATCGCAAGAGAAGGTGGCATACCTTTCCCTGGAAATATGTGCATGATTGGGTAGGCGGCGACAACACCGTTCAAAATGGAAAGCGGCAGTGTGCAATCTATCACAAGTGGTACTTGGGATCAAGCAATGCGTCTAGACGTAGACTACATTGAAGACCGCGTATGGCATCACAGGCAGCGACACTGCGTTATCTGCACCGCCCCGCAGAGGTCCAGAGATGGTACAATCTACGCTCACGAAGGACAGGCCTGTGCTTCAGGAGGCCGTTCGTCGTAAGTACGAGAACGCCGTTGTTGATTTTGTCGTCGAAGGTGCCGTCACATTGCTCGCGGCTGGCAGTGATCGTTTCGTTAATTTCGTCCCCTCTCTGAAAAAGGGTACGAGACGCCATCTAATCGAACGATACTGGGACGGATTGCCGAGCTTTACCACATTACGGAGCCAGCGCAACATAAATTCCTCAGTGATCTGCCAGTCCCCATTTCACTGATGCTCGACGCCTGGGATAATCGCAACCTGAATTTTTATGTAGCCACCGCGCACTGGGTCGACTTGGCCAAGCTCACGACAAAAAAAATTCTGCTGACGATACTCGACGTCAAGTGCAGAATTGGCTTCGGCCAGCGCTTTGGGACAGCCCTATATAACTACCTAAAATGGAAATAAAATTTAAAAATATTTTTCAATTATTAATTTTATCAACAATTATTTGTTTTTCAATTCAAAAAAAATATTTAATACAATTGGAATAAATAATTCAACAACTTCTGAACGAAAAATAGAATTTATGCAAAGTATAATAAATCATGAAAATATTCAAGATAATTCTAACTACCTTAGATGCATGTACAGGAAATTCGTGAAGCACCTGCTGAACGTCGTCAGCAACAATGGATCGGACGCTACGGCTGCCGTCATGCGGCTGTTCTATCTGGTCAATGCACTGGTCGGTTACGAGAAGATGCGCAAGTCGAATCACATGCATTGTGCCTATCACTTTGCCCAGCTTTCTGTGCTCAAGGGTCTTAAGGTGATTTAGGAACCCACCGAGGCGTTGCGGGAAGCGCTAGTCAACATCCGCCGCACCAAGGTCAAGCGTCAGCTGTGCTTGTGAACCATGAGACGATGCGATGCTGCTGTTAAGCAAGTTGTTGTGGACAGCATTGCAAAGTAGTCCAAAGCGAGCTTGCCAGTCGCGGTTTTCTCGCTTGGTCGCGATTCTCTCGCTTATGCTGAAGGATAGGACATTAATGGCGTGTCAGAGTGTCTACGAGCTCCGCGGGAGTCATGGAACGCCTTTCGAAGATTGCAAGCCGACTATCGACATGGTGAGGACGTCTATCTCTCTGCATGATAAGCAATGCGAGAACAGAGAAAAGCATTGTTTAAAATCCAGGGCAGTTTGACGTCGGTCACCACGAATGATAAGCTCAATTAGTACAAGAGCAAGCTGAGTCAAGATTCGGTAGTTTCCGCAGCCATTTTAAACCCTTAATTTTTAGAGCCGACGGACCCGGTTGACCACAAGCGTGTGTTGGATCATCTTCGCAGCACGCTGCAATACCTCTATTATGCCGAACTCAACTCGAGACTGATAAATGAGATGGAAACTGTAACGGGGCACCCTGGAGCTTGTACTGGTGACAGTACAAGCTACTTATTCTGATAACAGAATAAGGCGGTGCCTCGTAACTTCACGTACACTCGTACGTGCAGAGGAAGACGTTAAGAAGAAGCGAGTACTTGGTTAAAGTAAAAAGTAGAACTGCATTTAGTATAGTTAATGTCTGCAATAAATCACTATTTATCTTCATCTAACTATGTCTAAATACAAATGTGTAAATCAGTTATCTGCTCACCACTCATTGCGTGCGTCTGTCGTGGCGCGTCTTCGTTGGTTGATATAATGGCCTATATCAACCAATTAGGAACTACTTGGAAGTGCTACAGAATATTGTCCTTATGACAATATTCTGAGAATATAACTCTTATAGTTATATTCTATTAACAATTTCTTATAAATTGTTATGTAACGATTCACCCCGTTACATCACCCCCCTTAACCATCAGTCACTTTAGTGACTGATTGACTAAATGGATACTCGTCCCAAATCATTTGGGACGGGGTTTGCACTTGTTGGTCCGCGTCCACTTTCCAACATCTCATCGCATGGTAAACAAGCCCATGCGATGCGCGAGCAAGGCCGCCGAGAGCGCGTCTGCACGTCTCTGTGCGGACGCCGAAGCAGAAACTACAGCAACTGATGTCCCATCGGTTGCTGAATCGACTCAGCCTGTATCACCTGGTGATGCAGGCGCTGGTCATGAAGACACTCGTGTCTTCACAGAGTACGAGCTCGGTGTCTCGTACTCTCCTGATACGGATGACGGATCCGTATCGACGGCAATTGAATCCAAGCCGCCTGCCAAGCGTGGCATGGACGATGCTTTGCGTCGCAGCATCTTCGGTTCATCTGATGAGCCAGATGAACCATCGCCGAAGCGAAGGCGCTCGAGGTCGCGAGACTCGGGCGCTAATAGTGGTGTCGTTTCTCCAATGGACACCACTTCACAGCGAGGTGCCAGTACTTCTGTTGGCACGTCGCAGGAAGAGCGGGACCGCAATGTGTTGCGTCTCGCTCCCGAGAAGAAGGCATGGATGCCTCCTAAATCTGTCATGGATCACTTGTCGGCGACGACGAGTGATCGTTATCGAACACGATTGTTCGATTCGTCAAGGATTCATCACCTTGACCCCAGCGCGAAAGACTATCGCGCTGAACATGAGTTCTTCATCGATGCTTTCTTCAGACATCGATGGTACAGTGGGAATCACAAACGTGATTGTCTTTCACTACTTCAGGCGTGGAACGCCTACATCCATAATCTCGAGGATGTAGGTCGTGACGCTTGGAACGACAAACTTATCAAAGCTCGTGATAAGTTTGAAAAGCGAACCCCGACAGGTGCACGCTATAAGCTGCATCGTCTGTCAAGGGAGAAAGGATTACCCTGCCTCTCTTGGGGAGACTCGTGCCCATGTTGTGTGAACAACTCTGCACGAGCACCTAAGGAGGCTTACCTCCTTACCAGCCCGTGGTGGCGCGTACGTGTCTCTACTGAGATAACTGCTCTTCAGACCCTTGTTGATGCCCACCATCGGGAGCACAAGGCTCTCTGCGAGATGCTTGAGCGCAAGGGCGTTCTTCATCGGAAGAAGCAGCGTACTGATGGTACGGCTTAAGCCGACCAACGTAAAACGTGGGATGCGTTCGCATCTTACGTGGTAACTCGATCGTGTATGCATTGCCTAGGCGGTGCAATACACGAAATGGGCCAATGTACTTGGGTAGTAGTTTACTGCTACCCAAGTTAGTCACTACATGTTTTGGTAGATTAACCGTAGACAGTAGGACTAAGTCACCTTTATTAAATAAAAGAGTGTTTGCCCTTCCATTCTTGTCAGCGTTTTGCTTTTGCTTATCCACCGCTTCGGCGATGGAGTCTTGCACAAAACGGACTACCGTTTCACGAGCCAGTATGAACTCATCTGATGACTCGTTAGCTTCAGTGTGCTGTGAGCGCACTGCAGCGACAACAACCTTTTCTTCAGTGAGGGCTTCCGCACTCTCACTGGGATCATTGTCTTCAGTGAGGGCTTCCGCACTCTCACTGGCATCATCTTCTTCGATATCGATGTTATCGATATCGGCATCAAACGCAATGACTTCTTCGTCAGAGCGTGATGAGCGTGAACCAAATCGGTTTTTGCTCGCGCGAGTCCCTCCCCCCTTAAACCAGAGTTACACTCTAGTAAGGTGGGTACACGCGGATGGCGCAAGCCATTCACGTAAAACGGTGTATGTGTCGTGGACGCATGCACCGAGTTGTTGATGGCAAACTCTACCATCGGCAAAAACTCACTCCAACTCTTAAAGGAGTGTACGTATCCTCGAAGTATCTCTTCAAGGACACGATTGGCACGTTCCGTCTGACCATCTGACTCTGGATGATCAGATGTTGACATCTTCAAGCGCGTTCCGAGTGATTTGAACACGGAACGCCAGAAATCAGCAGTGAATCGTGGATCTCTGTCTGATACGAGTTCACGGGGCAACCCATGAAGTCGGAAGATGGTGTCAATAAAGACACAAGCACAGCCACTTGCCGTGATTGTCTCTGGTACAGCCACAAGGTGTACCATTTTGCTGAATCTGTCAACAAATACGAGAATACCCGTATTCCCGCGTGCGTCTTTGGGTAACCCGAAGACGAAATCCATTGAGATGGATTCCCAGCACTCAGCCGGAACCGGTAGAGGCTGTAAAGGTGCACGCAGTGAAGGACTTGACTTCACTCGTTGGCAGACTTCGCATGCGCGAACATACTTTCGCACAAACTGATACTGGCGGGGCCAGTAAAAGTCTCGACTTACCGTGAGATATGTTTTCTCTCGGCCACGATGTCCTCCTATAGGAGCATCGTGATACTCGAACATGATCCGCAAACGCAGATCAGTATCATCTGGAATGACAACACGTGGTGTGTCACCAGAAACGGCTGTATAGTACAGTAAACCGTTACGAGTAGTGTATCGATCTGATGCAGATCGATACGCAGACGACAATCGTTTCAACGATTCTCGAGATGGTTGGGAGAGATGTGACAACAACTTCACTATCTCACCATCTTGGGCGTATGCCCGCCTCACATCATCATACAACGTTGTAGATGGAACTGAGGACGTCATAACCGCAACAGTGACTGTCTCACTGTTGGGTTTCGCGACTGTTTCAAAGTCGGGACGACGTGAGAGTGCATCAGCGACGACATTAAGTCGTCCTGGTTTGTACTCAACCGTAAAGTTGTATTCTGCAAAGAATGACAACCACCGCGCCATTCGTTGTGAAAGGTGCGGGCTGTTCACTGCCGTGCGTAAGGACGCATGGTCAGTGTAAACAACGAAGGGTCTATCTCCTAATAGATAGACTCTGAACTTCGCGAGTGCATACTTCATGGCAAGGAGTTCCTTGTCATGCACTGGATAGTTCCGCTCAGCTGGTTGCAGCTGACGCGACTGATAGCAGACGACGCGTTCAACGCCTTCAAGGTCGTACTGCATTAATGCACAGCCGATTGCGAAATCACTTGCGTCACAGACGACATGAAATGGCGTGTCCTGATCGGCTATTGCTAGGACTGGGGATTGTATCAAGCTCTGCTTGATACCCTCAAAGGAGCGTTGACATTCAGCGTTCCATAACCACCTCTCGTTCTTTTTCAACAAACGAGAGAGGTGTACAGTCATCTCGGCGTAATTGCGTGAATACTTATGCAAATACGCCGCTAGCTCAAGGAATTTTCGAAGACCTTTGACATCGACCGGCACGGGCCAGTCGGTGATCGCCTTGATCTTTTCGGGATCAGGACGTACACCGTTCTTACCAACGATGCACCCAAGAAGTGGTATTTCGCTTGCTGCAAATATACACTTCTTGAGGTTTGCATACAATTGATGCTTTCGCATGATTGTAAGAACTTGTCGGACGTGGTACTTGTGAACCTCAACGTCCGACTTTCCATCCATAGCTCGACTATGGATGAATACGTCATCGAAATAACTCGGCGCGAATTCTCGTACTGGCCTCAACAGATGTGATACACACCTGTTGAACGTGGCAGGGGCATTACTGAGCCCTTGTGGCATTACTAGCCATTCCCAGAGCATGCCGCTAGGCGTGCTAACTGCGGTATAGGGTATATCCCGTTCCCGCATTAGGATTTGATAGAAGCCATCCATCAAATCCATGGACGAAAAGATGGTACTCTTTGACATACCATCAATGATTACGTCCTTCCTCGGTATCGGCGTCTGAGCCGGTACCGTTGCAGCGTTCAATTTGTTAAACGCGTGCACTATCCGCCACCCTCCTGTTGCTTTTCGCACACAGAAGGTCGGAGAGCTATGTGGGGAAGTTGATTCCCTCACATGGCCCGCTGCTAAACGATCGGCAAAGAACTTGTCGATCGCAAGTACTTGTTCACGAGGCAGTGGCCACTGCTTCATGACACAGTACTTCGAGCCTGGTTTAAGCTCGACTTCGTGTCGAATACCTTTATCCTTCGGTAATTCGCACGGAACAGTTTCAGGGAATACATCCTTGAATTCAACCAAATCTTCATAGAGAGGATTTTCCTTGAGCGATTCCCATGATTGGGACTCATATCGCTCAATTCGTGTCTTTTCATCTAGGACACTCTCGTCCATAGATGAACTACTGAGAACTCTCTCGTTCTCAGTAAACACTGTTGCTGACCTTATGTCGGTTACATACTCGTCTTCAGCGACGAGTATGCAGATCTGCTTGACTTTGTCACTACGCAGATCACGCAAGAATCTTTTATGTTCGAGCGTTGGCAACTGAGTGATCTCCGAAGTTAACTTCGGAGGCGCAATCAGATCAAGTGTATAAGCGCCTACACATGATCCGTTATTGACTATGACATTCAATGTCTCTGTCATTTCCTGGGGACTTATTCCCTCAGGCTTCGAAGGACTTATTCCTTCGTCTTCCCGGGGACTTATTCCCGCGGGTTTCGGGGAACTTATTTCCGCCGTATTTGTAATCTTGGGACTTATTCGCTTTACTTCCTCTAGCTGGGGTTGCGCAACCACAGCGAGATCCTCTACGAAAGACTCTCCAGTCGATCTAGGATTATCGTTTCGCTTAACCTGAGCGATCGATTGTTTCTCTTCTAGATGTTCCCCTCTAGGGATACATCTTTGTCCCAGTCCACCCGACTTATTCGAGTGGTGGACCTTCGGCGCAGCCTGTGTTTCCTCACAGCCGCCGGAACTTTGCTCCGAAGTGTAACCGTTTGGTACACTAAGGTTTTGTGCAGTCGTACTAACGACCGTACCACAAGTGAGGCCATCGCACTCACTCGTAGTACATCCACACGCTTGTGGACTCTCCAAAACGTTCATCAGATGGCCATCTGATGAACAAGCGGCAGGCATCGTTACTGTCCGATGTTGCCAGTTTACCCGTGGTTCGTACCTTCTGAGCCACGGTATTCCAAGGATGACATCAAATTTGTCATCCAAATCCAATACGATAAAGTCATCGTCGTATTGGGTATCTTCTAGCGTATAGTGAATCTTCACTATACGCTTCATGACGGTTACGGATGCGCCTGTCGCAAGACGTACCGTCATCCTCGTAGGAGGTGTGTCACATTCACTGAATTTAAAGTGACCATCTTCTAGCGATTGGCGTCGCACAAAATTGTTGGACGCCCCACAATCGACTAGAGCTCGAAGGGACAACTTATTCGTCACTTCGAGTTTCAAGGTAATGAGTGAGATCTCATTACCTAGAGCAGCAACGCACAATGTCTGTGTGTTGGGAGCAACCTTCATCAAGAGGCCTACAAATTCTCTTGACGTTGCTGGATCAGTAGGGTGCTCCGCACCTACTGATCCTGTCCGTTTTTTGACGGTCCATCCCGTTGTTGCGTCTTTGCACCAACTGCGGACCCTCGTCCCTGCCCCTTTCTCATGGGTGGACGGTCACTACGCCCAGTGTCGCGAGACACTGGACGAGGGGCACTACACTCGTAAGCGTAGTGTCCTGTCTTTTGACATCTGTTGCATCTCTGCAACTTCTTGTAGCCTGTAGAGCGAGCCTTCTCGCTCTCTACATAACAGAGTTCCATCGGCTCTGGACCTCCGTTGTCATATCGTCTCGGTTGACGATATGATGTCGAGCTGGCGCGAGCCTGTCTCAGACTGAAGTCTTCCTGCTCCGCAATGGAAATGGCTTGTTCTAGTGAATCTAGTTCAAGCCGGAACAGGTGAGTCTTGACGGGACCATCCGCAAGACCCTGCATGAACACCGAAACCAACGTGTGTTCATCCACCGGATTGGAACTTATACAACTCGTGAGATGTCGTATATGTTGAGCGTAAGCGTGCACATCACGCTTACCCTGCTTGAGCTTCAAGAGTTCGGTTCGAGCTCTGAACTCAGCTCTAGGCGGTTCAAACGTTTGTCTGAGCCGCGACTTGAAGAACTTCCAACGACCCAAACGCGTATGGGTCGTGCAGCTTGAGCCCCAGTGCCCAAGTCTTGGCACGTCCTGCCAGATTTGACTGGGCAAATGCAACTTGCATATCCCCGTCGTCGATGCGACGCGCCCTTATGGCGTCATCCAATTCGACGAACCATCTCAAGAGGGAGTCTTCTTCGACCCCCCTATACTTTGAGATGTCAATCTTCAAAGTCTCGGGCCGACGCGAGTGCATCGACCCGCCAGCAGCAGCCTGCTGCTGTCTCAACAGTTCAAACTGTTGAGCACCTTGTTCTCTCAACAACTCTGCTTGTTGAGAACCTTGTTGGTGAAGCAAGGCTACTTTCTCGCGTTCTGCGTCAAGTTCATTTTGAATGAACTTGGCGATAGTAGCATGTTGGGCATCTCTATTGAGAGCCTCTAGCATGACGCTAACAGCATGGATGCCCATGGTCGAACCCATTCGTTCAACCGCATCCCATTCGACATCGCTCAAATGGGAGTAGCCGTCACGCGTAGCGTGAAAGCTTTGGTCATCTTCATCATCCAACATATTCATGTTGGATGTGAACGCGGTCCTTGGACGGACTACAAAGTGCTACCAGGTGTAACGGGGCACCCTGAAGCTTGTACTGGTGACAGTACAAGCTACTTATTCTGATAACAGAATAAGGCGGTGCCTCGTAACTTCACGTACACTCGTACGTGCAGAGGAAGACGGTAAGAAGAAGCGAGTACTTGGTTAAAGTAAAAAGTAGAACTGCATTTAGTATAGTTAATGTCTGCAATAAATCACTATTTATCTTCATCTAACTATGTCTAAATACAAATGTGTAAATCAGTTATCTGCTCACCACTCATTGCGTGCGTCTGTCGTGGCGCGTCTTCGTTGGTTGATATAATGGCCTATATCAACCAATTAGGAACTACTTGGAAGTGCTACAGAATATTGTCCTTATGACAATATTCTGAGAATATAACTCTTATAGTTATATTCTATTAACAATTTCTTATAAATTGTTATGTAACGATTCACCCCGTTACAGAATCCAGCATCAGCTCGCTGTTCGCATCGATGATTGAACTGTTCGCGATGACGTTTCCACGATTTATGAGATCGACAAATATTTGTCTCAGTTCAATTTTTACGCTACATCACGTCAAAGGTACCTCCAACCTTGTCGCCGATGCATTGTCGCGTCCAGGCGTCACCCGTCCTGCTTTGAAGACATGCGAAAATGACATTCCTCACGTTCATGACTGTAGTTCATTGTGCGCTCATCACGACGCCCGTCTTTGACGTCATAATATTCATTTGGCAATCCTATGTATGCTCCCGATCCTGGATTAGGACCTTCTTCTCGATGTGCAGGACTTTGAGGAGGTGTAAAGGATGCAACATGTGCCTCAGAAACAGCAGCGACAGATCAAGATGAAGTCCAGCACATCAAATTTTCATTATTAAGTATCCATCCACGTTGGCATCAAAGAAGGCATATATAAAAGGCTACAACAAGAACCGCGAATTCACAGAGGCGCTGAGCACAAATCACGACAAGTGTGTTTTGGACGATGGATTGCTGTATCTAAGGACGAATCACGCAGCCGAGAGGCTGTGCGTTCCGGCAGATGATCGACTAATTGCTGCAATACTCCGTGAACATCACGATGGAAACACCGCCGCACATCCTGGGGTTCATCGAACACAATTATAATTGTAACAATGGTATTTCTGGCCCCGCTTGAAAATGGATGTACGTGAGTACGTACATAGCTGCGGTGCATGTACGAGATGGAAGACGAGCAATTTAAAAATAAATGGTTAGCTCATCCCGATTCCATATCCAGATGAGTCCTGGAAACTGGCTTTGACGGAATTTGCAACGGGTCTACCAGTGTCGAGAGGTTTCAAAGCTGTAATGACAATGGTCGACAAGCTATCGAAGCGACGCGATATGCACCTACGCACAAGAACAGGGATGCTCCAAAAGTCGATTTCCTTTTTTTGATGTCGTTGTGAGTCATCGCGGACTCCCAAGGTCATCATCATCAGCGATCGTGACCCAAAGTTCACGTCAAACTTTTGGAAGTCTCTAATATGCATTATGGGTACCAAGCTGTCGATGAAAACAGCTCACCGTGTGGAAGCGGACCGCCAGACTGAGCGATAGAGTTTGATTTTGGAAGACGCGCTGCGCTGCATGGTTTCTTATCATGGTGACGACTGGTCGTCACATCTTGGTACAAAAAAGGAGTTTGATCATGCAACTCTAGTGAGCAAGTCAACCCAACTATCTCCTTTTGTAAACGATACAGAGTGGTAGGTTGGCAATCCTTTCGCTGGAAGATTTAATGATACAGAAAAGCATACAGAAAAGCAGCTACCTGTAGCCGAGTACGCAAAAAACTTTGCAGACAGGAGACAAAAAATTATCAAGCTTGCGCAAACCAACATGGCCAAGGCTCAAGAAGCCAAAAAATACTACGACAGGAAGTGAGCAACGTGACATTTTAAAGTGGAGACATAGTCATGATCAACTCAAGCTACTTCACCACAATATGGGTATTGGAATAAATAAAACAAAGCGGTTGGAAAAGAAGATTGGACCACTCAAGATTAAACATATGGTGTAACGGGGCACCCTGGAGCTTGTACTGGTGACAGTACAAGCTACTTATTCTGATAACAGAATAAGGCGGTGCCTCGTAACTTCACGTACACTCGTACGTGCAGAGGAAGACGGTAAGAAGAAGCGAGTACTTGGTTAAAGTAAAAAGTAGAACTGCATTTAGTATAGTTAATGTCTGCAATAAATCACTATTTATCTTCATCTAACTATGTCTAAATACAAATGTGTAAATCAATTATCTGCTCACCACTCATTGCGTGCGTCCGTCGTGGCGCGTCTTCGTTGGTTGATATAATGGCCTATATCAACCAATTAGGAACTACTCGTAAGTGCTACAGAATATTTGTCCTTATGACAATATTCTGAGAATATAACTCTTATAGTTATATTCTATTAACAATTTCTTATAAATTGTTATGTAACGATTCACCCCGTTACATCACCCCCCCCTTAACCATCAGTCACTTTAGTGACTGATTGACTAAATGGATACTCGTTCCAAATAATTTGGGACAGGGTTTGCACTTGTTAATCCGAGTCCACTTTCCAACATCTCATCGCATGGTTAACAAGCCCATGCGATGCGCGAGCAAGGCCGCCGAGAGCGCGTCCGCACGTCTCTGTGCGGACGCCGAAGCAGAAACCACAGTAACTGATGTCTCATCGGTTGCTGAAGCGACTCAGCCTGTGTCACTTAGTGATGCAGGCGCTGGTCATGAAGACACTCATGTCTTCACAGAGTATGAGCTCGGTGTCTCGTACTCACCTGATACGGAAGACGGATCCGTATCGACGGCGATCGAATCCAAGCCGCCTGCCAAGAGTGGCATGGATGATGCTATGCGTCGTAGCATCTTCGGTTCATCTGATTCATCAGATGAACCATCGCCGAAGCGAAGGCGCTCGAGGTCGCGAGACTCGGGCGCTAACAGTGGTGTCGGTTCTCCTATGGACACCACTTCGCAACGAGGTGCCAGTCCTTCCGTCGGCACGTCGCAGAAAGAGCGGGACCGCAATGTCTTGCGTCTCGCTCCCGAGAAGAAGGCATGGATGCCTCCAAAATCTGTCATGGGTCACTTATCGGCGATGACGAGTGATCGTTATCGAACACGGTTGTTCGATTCGTCAAGGATCCATCACATGACCCCCCCAGCGCGAAAAGCGTACGCACTCGGTATGCCCCCGTTGGTCCGTATTGCTACGCATGTAGCGGCTCCATGTCGCGTAGTTGTCGCCGTCGAACTTGTCAACGGAGATCTTGGTGGTGGCATCATGAGCAGAGGACATCGTGCTTGGGCTCATAACCAGATGGAAGGTGTGAAGCTTGACGACCGAAACTGGGAGGGATGCTGGGAGTCCACTCGGAAGACCGGAGAAGACACTTGGGGGGTAGATGGAAGATTGTAAAGTGATTGATTTTCGGGGCTTACTACTTACTACATGATTTAAATGTGGTGCACATATAAATCATGTGAAGCATCTCTTCATCCTACGCGTCTAATCAACTATGGTAATTACCGTAAGAACTACGTCGTAAATACTAAGCTGAACAGGCGGTTCGGATTGGACCGGTCACGGTTACCAATACTGGTAGGAAACCGATGACCATCAACAAGAAGGGATCGGTGCCAATCCGTATGGGGAAGTTCATACCTACTTGTGACTTCCAAGAAAGGTGAAAATAGCAAAAACAAGTCGCAGTTATACTTTATGTTTACCGCCATCATAGCGATATAAATGATCGGCGATTGTCTGATACTGGATCGACCACGATTTTCCACATCGATAGATAAGTACAATATGCATCATCCTGATGATGATGAACATAATTCAGTAAAGGTACGGAATGATGCTATGTGATGAAGTTCGATTCAAACGATTTGGTAGACGCTGTCCAAGGCAACGTCACCAAGTGCATTTTCGACAAATGAATGCATTTCCGATAAGTTACAAAATTTCAAATATCTCGATACACAGATGCATTGCCTATGATAGAATATCCTTTTCGAGCCATTAAATACACCCTTTATACACTCAAAAGAAAAGAAAATTATTAAATTAGCCACACATTCGTTGTACAGTAAATCCATTACATTAGTGTATGCCACACCATATACCTTATTAAAATTAAACGTGACAGATGATATTTTATATGTATTGAACAAACCTTTGGACCGAAGGGGGGCGTACAGCATCATTGTACAGCGAATTGTGCATTAGTCATGTTCAGCAACATCTTACAGCCTACATCGGGAGCGAGAGCTATGGTGCACCGTACAGCGAAAGTGGCTTCGCCACAAAAAAACTCAGCTTGAATTTATAATAATCCTACCAAGAACTAGAGTAAACAACCACTTTGTGAAGCAGAATTGTTCAAGAACAGTACTTTCTTTCTGCAATTTCAAAAACTGCAGCAACAGGTGACAACATGGCGTAGCGCCGAGACAATAGGCCGAATGCCAGATTACTCAATACGGGTAGCTTTTTCATGTGGGTGTCCGATATTAGAGGTCGCGCTCAAAGCTTGCTCCCTATTATACTCGTGAGGTTTGTCTGTTTATTTTCCGCATACTATGGTACTCATTTCGTTTTCAGTTTCTTTTTAATCTGAAAGTTACCATACAAGTTGTTGCTTGATCTAATTCGACACCATCAACATTAGATACTGTATGCTAGAAAGTTCTTTGTCGAATTTTATCATCGCTGTTCCTATTTTTAACTTCACGCCATAATTGCTATTGTTATCTGTGTTTCAGTTGCTACTATTCGGTTGCCAGTGTCGTTGTTACTGCTCCTTCCGTTGGTGTAGCCTTATTTTTGGTATAGTTGTAAATTTTATGTGTTGTTCCTGTTGCTTTTGATTGATCAATCATTTGATGTTTGTGTTGTTGCTGATGCTAATGCTGTTGTAATTTTATTACTGTTGCTTACTGTTACTGGTAATACCTTGTTGTTGTCGCAGCTGCTGTTGTTATTGTTTAAAAATTGGCGCACACGCTAATTCTTTACTTCTTTTGCTACTGCTATCACTTTTTTTAAAAGTTTCTGCTATTATGTGGTGTCGTTGGTTCTACATTGTTACTAATATAGTAGTTTTAGTTGTAGGATAAGAATTTGCTTCCTGCTAATTAGATCTAGTTTTTTCGGCGTATAAAATCATATTAATAAAAGACCATAATTTTGTTCTAAATGGTTAATTTTTAAGTAAATTAAAGATCTTTGAGCCTTTCCCGACTGCAGGCATGTTGCAAGCAGGAAATTTGCGATGATTCTTCAAGCATAGTTTATAGACTTGTTTGTCATTTTATTGTACAAAAATTTTACTTATTTAAGGCTAGGGAAGTTATGAAATAGCATCGTAAATATAAGAGTTTGGCATTTCATTTACACTGGACTAGATACGATGTAACCGTTTTTTATTGCGCGTGTACAAATCTGCATCCAATACTAAGGTAATCTGCAAAGCAATATGAATCCAGAATTAATAATTTAGTAGACAGCCAAGTGCTATTGCAGGTTATGTTCGATTCTGTTAATGGCTATAAACTTAAAGAGGAGCACGATAGTTGTGGAGAGTTCAAGAGGTGACAAATTATACACAAGATATTGATTCGTTTGAAGTGTAAACCCAATCAAGCACATATGGTATCGTTCAAAAAATAAAATTTTATTTTGCATTAAACATACGTTACAAAATTGAACAAGATTATAAATTCCATCGGACTCATATCATTAAAACTTGGCATTTGGACCTCTTACATTCTTCATAAAGGGGTGACACAGCTGCATTGTAACGATGCGCAAAAAATATTGCACCTACTCTTGCTAAGTAAATTGGTGGCAATCAAAGGTGCTTCTGATTGTTTAAGAACCACACACCCCTCAAATTCGACCCAAGTCATCTCCACATCAACTAGCTTGCATCATTTTTCCCTTTACATATCTGAATTGATGAAAGAAGTGTTGATACGCAAGCATAGCATATGCCTACTTTGTCACAGTTAATATTCGGGTGACCGTATTCAAGGGCTCATTTGTTTTTGTTGTTGTTGATGTATATCTTGGTACGTAGACCGACCAGCAACTTAAAAGAAAGGATACCCAGCTTTGGGATCCACTATCCGGCTTTATAAATCGACTCGACTCCCCCACGCATACATGTCCATGCACCTGCCGGTCCCGATGCCAATCCTCTATCTTTCGGCCACCGGGTCAGTTTGGGCTCCAATGTTAAGCAAATCAACCATATCAGAACATTGCATGCAAATGATGATTGAATAAGGTCAGGTCCTTCATCGAAAAACAATGTCCGAGTATGTGTATCGCGTTGTCTTGAGTATACTTGGACGTGGGGCACCATTATTTTTGTGGGTATATGGACCAATTCATTTTTACTGTATTTCCGATATTGGTAGATTAGTAACAACATGGCAATAGAAGTATTTTTATAAGAGTGAGGACCACGGATTTTCAAAACGTGTTTCAGAAAGGCTTTCTTTGCAAAATCTGATGTATATTTGAAGAGTAAAAGCGCAGAGTTGAAAAGGTATATTTTTAGGTCGGAAACTAATCTGATGTTTAGTAGAGTTCTAGTTTTTCTTTCTTTCACAAGCGTTATGTGTTTCTCCCTTCCGATCTGGATACATTTCTCCTGCTTCTCCAAGGTAGCCCATAATACCCAAACATTAATCAAATATCTCGAATCGCTTGGCCAGGGTTGGAAAGACTCTTACTTCATACCAACTGCGATTGGGCGCAGTACACAGGGAAAAGGACTGGACGTCAAGATTGCGATACAATTCAAGATACGTAAGGATGTAGCAATGAGCATTAGGACCAGATTGAGCAGTACCGACAGTATGTGCACGACAGATCGTGAGATTTATTAAAAAGACCGCGATATTTTTTGGGATTGGCGATTTAAGGTGAATTGAAAGCGTCTAGCAAGATCAATTGATCCCAGAAAATTCCAAGCGACCACTGGCAAGATTGGCGCCATATCACCAGATCTCTGTTTAAAGATTTCTGCACTGAGCAAGATAGACATCTCTCAAGGAAGTAATAGATAGCTTAATACTGTCCAACCGACAGGTATACAAGATGACCCACAAGGCTATGCAACAAGGCACGTATCGGAATACCTCTCCGTAAGTCGGCAAGTCTGGTCAAGTGAGAGATCGTAACTGAAATCAACAATTTACGTGAGATCGAATAAATTACAAAAGTGATCAGTGCACGTTTGTGCTGTACATTAAATTATTGAAGATTTAGATGGTAGTCGTGTGACGATATGCTAGTAGTGTTGCATTGATAACAATCTAAAGCTATTCTGTTATCGGTGAGTGCAAAGTACGAATTGTCCAGTTGAATAGCTGTCGACTTGTACTAAGCAAGGAATCAACATAGGTCGATGCTTCATTTCAATAAGCTAAGGTTGCTCCAATGCAATAAATCTGACTCCATCCCGCTCATGCATTGCGTATGTTGTAGGTTATGCATCAAATTATACTGGACTGTGTTAAATTGAACCGTCCTCTACCTGCAAGAAACCAAGCTGCACAGATCTGCTTTAATACATGTTGACTAGATCAACACTTTAGAGGGTACTCGGACGCAGACTAGGCTGGAGACCTTCTAGGTCGCAATTCAACTTCGGGATACTTTTTCAGGTTAAGATGTGCGCCTGGTATCTGTTATCTGGGTAAGCAAAAAGCAGTTAAATTTGTCGCTGTCCATGAGCGAAGCAGAGTACATGACGCTAGGTATAGTAATAAAGGAAAGCGAGTGGGTGCATTGTCTGTTTTGTGAGATCCTGACCAAGACAACGAGCATATACTGGAATATTTTATTGCCGAAGACAAGTAATAGCGCATTAAGGCAATAAAATTTAATCAACCGTGAATAAGCCAAGCACATCGAAACCATGTTACATCGTATCCGTGATGAGATTAGCGCAGTATAGTACAGTTTGATTACTGCAAGACTTTAACATGCTTAGTAGATAGTGCGACCAAGGCGCTGACAGGAAAAGCCACAAGAACGTAAAGGCGGGTCTCGACGCTCACTCGTGCTTTAATTGAGGGGGGAATTGATGAATGCTTGTTCAACAATAAAAACTTACGCGCAGTTTATACAAGATAGCTTTTACAACGGCATCACCTTAATGTTAGTTAGACATGTAGATCGATTTGTAAGACCAACGTGAATTATAAGAGGTACAGGTTAATTAGTATAAAATCATGAGAATACCGATGAATTGATCACTTCCTGCTACATCTCTCCACCATTAGTTTTCACAAAAATCCTTTCATATAAAATTTTCTCATTTATAAGTGAACCTCTTCGTTTTTAAAATACGTACATCCCATCAGCTTACAATCCGTAGAAAGAACTCCATTACAACAAAG